TTCCCTCTGGGTGTAAAATTGCTGGTAGGAGCTGGACTCAGTTTCAGGTTTAATTGTGACGGTCACAGGTGGTGCAGAACGTGATTTAAGATGGTCAGAAGGCACAGGTTTCCATCTGCCAGATCATCACAGGTGTCATCACTGGAGGCAGACACTGGAAATCCTTTGCAAATTGACTGTGTAGCAAATTGATTTTTGGAAATTGCCCCATCTGGAGCAGTGGTTCTCAGACATGGCCGGCAGGGTGCCAAGAAGGTGAGGGAGTATCTCACCATTTCTAGGAGGGAAATTTAGTTTGACTCAGACTAGTATGGCATTGTATTTGGAAAATGTAGAAAGACACCTGTTGTTAATACAAATTATTGAAAATGAGAGTGTATCATGTTATTTTGATAGGAATGTACAGACCTAGCAATGCAGTTTATCTCAGTGTAGAAGAATAGAGGATATTTTTACATTTCTTGAAATTGAGTGTTAAACAATGGATAAATGCTCATTGAAGCAGCCATATATTTAGCACAGATTCTCTTAACAAATTGCCCCCTCTTCCAGATAACCATATAAATAATCAAGCAATATAAAGCTGAGTGAATTGGGTCTCTAAAAACCAGTTTATAAAGTCTGTCAGTTCATTAATGACTGTCCAGATTCATTCCCCGAAACACAAACTCCAGTTCTTCCCGAATAATGAGCCATTGTCACAGTTCCAGTCCTGGAGCTGGCAGAATTCCTGTTAACCTTAGCTTACCCGCTCTAATTTCTTCTTTATATCATGTCCTATTTATCCCAGCCAACAAGATAAAAATTACTTCCTAGCCCTCAGTGACAAAGTCCCATAAATCCCCAACATAAACACGTAGCAGGGCAGACAAGCCCCAAAAGCCAATTCATTAGCATTAGTAAATCCATGCTCGTCTGAGTGCAAGTGGCCATGTTATTTATCTGCTTCAGAAAGTCATTCCACAATTATTTATGAGTGTCTTTTCCTTTTTATTTTTTCCTTTTCTCTTTTAGCCAGGCCTGGGTGTGCCATGCCCCACAGCTCTGGCATGATTTTAATTTTGTTTTCCTCTTATCTTTCCATGGTGATTAGACCTCAATATCAAACATAGAACTGAGTATCAGTTCCTTTTTCTTTTTCCTTTCTCTTTTTTCTTTTTTTTGTCGTTCGTGGGGCTTCAACTCTGGGCCTGAGCACTTTCCCTGTGCTCTTCAGCTCAAGGCGAGCGCTCTACTGCATGAGCCACAGCACCACTTCCGGTTTTCTACTGGTTTATTGGAGATAAGAGTCATGGAGTTTCCTGCCCGGGCTGGCTTTGAACCATGATCCTCAGATCTCAGCCTCCCGAGTAGCTAGGATTACAGGCATGAGCCACCGGCGCCCCGTAGTTCCTTTTTCTTAATCTTTCATTTCAGGTTGTCTGTCCTGAGTTACTTTGCATTCTCAGTGGCAAATGACTATCTTTTTGTAGTGTAGCTTCTATATAGGATATTCATGGATTTAGTTTCTCCCGTAGCATTACCAACTGTAAATCTGGTGAGCATATCTTGTCTATTTCACTATGTCTAGTTTTTTTTTTTTTTTTTGTCGGTCGTGGGGCTTGAACTCTAGGCCTGGGCGCTGTCCCTCAGCTCTTCAGCTCAAGGCGAGCGCTCTACCACTTGAGCTACAGCGCCACTTCCGGTTTTCTGGTGGTTTAATGGAGATAGGAGTCTCACGGTCTTTCCTGCTCGGGCTGGCTTTGAACCGCTATCCTCAGATCTCAGCCTCCTGAGTAGCTAGGATTACAGGCGTGAGCCACCGGCGCCCGGCTTCACTATGTCTAGTTTTTATGCTGCTGTGAAACTCACTCTTCCCTAATGAGTAGCTTTGCACCCAAACTGGAAAATAGGTAGAGGTAGCTCCTATCCATTTCTTCCTTTCTTTTTCTTTTTCTTTGAGCCGGTACTGGGGCTTGAACTGAGGGCTTGGGTGCTGTATGTTAACTTTTTCTTTCAAGGCTGATGCTCTGCCATTTAACCACAGCTCTATTTCCTGCTTTTTGGTGGTTAATTGGTGATAAGAACTCACAGATTTCCTTCCTTCCTTGGGCTGGTTTTCAAACCTAAATCCTCAGGTTTCATCCTCCAATAGCTAGGATTACAGGTTTGAGTCCTCTGTGCTCAGTCCATTTTACTTTTATCAGAAATTTCATGATATCGTCAGCCATAATTGTTCATGGAGAGGTTTAGGTACTGTTTTATCTTATCTGGATCTATGGTTATCTGATATTTGCTCCATGGGAAAATAACATTTTACTCATAGTACTTTTGAGTGCTCTATATAGTATTTTTTTTTTTTGTCGGTCGTGGGGCTTGAACTCTGGGCCTGGGCGTTGTCCCTCAGCTCTTCAACTCAAGGCGAGCGCTCTACCACTTGAGCTACAGCGCCACTTCATAGTACTTTTGAATACACTAAATCTTTATAGTTCCTAACACTGTTTAGCAAGATCCCACATTTCAGGGGTTAGGAGCCAGGTGCTGGAGCGTCTAGGCAGTGTTGCAGTTCTTTCCTTGGTGTTTTTTGGTTTGCTTCATTCTAGCTGTTCTGGGTGTATGCATGTGCAGGGTACAGCCACACGCTCTGCTTTGCTGCGTATCTCATCTGTCCATTCAGGTCTCCTGGAAGATGAGAGATTGCCCATGGATGCAGACCAAGTTGCTGGAAGAGCACATGTCACAGGCAGTGGGTTGAGACTGAAATGCATTTTGAGACTGACTCAAAGTATTCCACAACCATGTATCTTAGTTTGAGCTGCTAGAATAAAAGCATCCTGGGGTATTTGTTTTTTTAGACAAATAAACCCTTGTGTCTCATCACTGTGTTGGAGGCTCAAAGTTGGACTGAATGGTCTGGTTCTAGTCTGCCTCCTGGTTCATTGTGTGGAACTTTTCTTGTCTCTTCTTATAAGGGCATGGATCCCATTCATGAGGATCCAACCACCTGACCTAGTCACCCCTCTACACATCCAAAGGCCTGCCTACCTTGTTTTTTTTTTAATACCATCCCATTGGGGGTTAAGATTTCAACATGAAGATTTAAGAAAGAAACAGAGTGAGTGTATAACACCGTGGGAGTTTGCCAATTAAAGGTTCAAGGCAGATGTTTTATAATGAGGCATAAAAGATATGTTTGCTATGAACAATAATATGAATGAATGGGTAAGAACTTACCCTCCTATGGATTGATTATATGTTGTGGTTGTCACCTCTTAGATAATTGTTTTGAAGTTCATTGTTTTTGAGTAAAAGAACTTTTTTCCCCCCAGAATATTATTTCCCAGGGTTTTTGAAATTGTGATGAATCATTATTAGCTTATGTACTTCTTGAGGGCCTGTGACTTGTGGCTTTGGGGAGAAGGGGGTGTGATTGAGACAGGGGATCACTCCCAGAGCCTGGCCGCACACTCCTGGCGCGAGAACAGTTCCCATGCTCTTAGTCAGCTCTGTAAAGCCTTGCAAGATCTGCGTTCCCCACTCCATTCATCCCTGTCTTGCTCACGTGCTCACTTGCTGGAATGCACCAGTCTCATTGTTGACCTTTTTTTTTTCTTTTGAAGATAGAGTATTTTGCTATATATAGTCCAGCCTGGCCTTGGTCCTCCTATCTGCCTCTCCCAAGTACTGGGATTAAAGGTGTGTGCCACTTTGCCTGGTTTCCTGACCATCCTTTTCAGTAGAGCTCTGATCTCTTGCCTGGGTTTGTTCTAATTCATAGCACTCATCTTAATAGGAACTATTAGGTGGCTGTTTCTTCTAAAGCCTGAAATGCAAGCATTAGAAAAGCAGGGGCTTTGGCTATTTGGATGACCATTGTGTTTATGGTGCCCAGAATAGCACCTGCCATATCGTAGGTGCTCTATAAATGAATATTTGGATGAATGAATAAATGAGTGTTTATTTATATACCCAAGTGCCTACATAGTGACAGTGTGACCCAGTTCAGAGTAGCCTCAAAAGAGAAACACAGCTCAAAAGAAGTTTTAATCTTTATTCTTTTCTTCAAATGTGCTGGCCTGACCAAGTTCTTGGCTCAGTCAGCCCATATTGAAACCATTGCCTACTCCAGCTTCCTGAGTGCTAGAGGGTTTTTCTGTTTGAGTCTCACTTGCTGCCTTTATTCATCATGGGACATTTGGGCCTATACTCTGGCTTGTAGCTTAACATATGACTGGGGGAGGGCAGTAGCTGTTTCTAAATCTTCAGGTCTGATAAGCGAAGACAAAAGTGGCACCAAATGGACTGCCCATGTGGGTTCAGGAGCTAATTCCAAAGAAGAAGCAGAAGCTTGCTAACCAACATTAACACATTCAGTGATTTCCTTTGATTCATTGTAATCCTCTCTACTTGTTGATCTATGCTTCTGTTAGCCTCAGAACACTTGATACCTTTTTCTTCATGTACCAGCTCCATAATGATCTTCCATATTGGTATAGGCTCCCGAGCTGTATTTATCACAGCAGGTGCAACACATTAGCACCCAAAAGTTAGGCCATAATGCAACAACGGCTTATTGAAACATCCATAAATATCTCATAAAAGCTTAGGATTTCCTTAAGACAGTAACATCACTTCTAAAGAGCTTTCGTCTGTTACCCTAGAAAGATTTATAAAATATTTAAGGCATAACATGGTTCTGTGTATTATAAACTATGGTTCTTTATGCTAGGTGGGTTTAAATTTGTTTAGGCAGGCACCTTTTTTATATTTATACTTCACAAATGGAGTCTTTTATCATTTCTAATGTTGTTGTTACCATTTTAGTAAATGAGATAGTCTACGAGCACCGTTCATCAATGAAACAAACGGCTTTCACATTATTTGGCACCTGGTTAAACAATGTAAAATTTTAAATTACCTTTTTTATATGTGTTGTCTTGATTTTTTCCTAGTTGGTGGATGACTTGCTGTTCTTTTGGGTAGACTTACTTTTTTTCTTCCTCTCTCTCCTTTCCCATAAGATGGAGGCAAGGAAGTGTTGTCCATGCACCAGATTCTGCTCTATCTGTTACGGTGTAGCAAAGCACTGGTCCCAGAAGAGGAGATTGCCAATATGCTTCAGTGGGAGGAGCTTGAGTGGCAGAAATATGCAGAAGAGTGCAAAGGCATGATTGTCACCAACCCTGGGACGGTATGTTCTGGTATTTACACAGACAACACTGAATCTTCTTCTCCAGGTTTGGATGTGGCACAAAAACCAAAAGTATTTTTTGCTTCTTGTCCTGTGAGTTATTTCTGCTTTAAAGACTTACTTCATAAGAAAAATACTGCAATAGGAATATATTTGGTAGTCATTTCACCTGAGTATATTTTTTTGTCTGAAGAGATGTATATTTTGATATATGGTGTCAGTTGCCCTCCAAGAAAGGTTTTGTTGTAAAATCTGTACTCTGACCAGGAATATTTGAGAGTGGTCTTTTCTTTATATGCTTATTCTAGGTTAAGGAAAAAAAAGCCTGGGCCAGATACTGGTGGCTCATGCCTATAATCCTAGCTGCTAAGGAGGCTGAGATCTGAAGAGCAAGGTTCAAAGTTATCTTGGGCAAACAAGTCAGAGAGATTCCTATCTCTAATTATCAAGCAAAATGCTGGAAATGAAAGTGTAGCTCAAGTGGTAGTGTACCAGCCTTGAGCAAATAAACGAAGCAAGAGCTTGAGGCCCTGAATTCAAGCCCCAATATTGCTGTACACACACGCATGCATGCACGCGCGCACACACACACGCATGCACGCACACACATAGAAAAAGAAACATAAATTTTGCCACTTACTAATACCAGGAAAATCTATTATTTGACTTAGTTTTGTATTATTCCATCATTTGATTTTCTTTCGTGGTGCTTGTCCTTTATGTTATCATTCCTCTGCCATAATTATTATTAATGGTAACACCTTTGCTTCTTGAATTTTTTTTTATTAGGTAGGTTCTAATGTTAATTTTTGAAGAAAATATGTAAAAATTAAACACATACAAAAGTAAAAAGATAATTAAGCTGCCAATTTTTCAACTTGTTTTATAAAATATAAACTCTGGATCTACTTGACAGTAACATTTGCACAAACAAAATATTACAATTTGGGAATAAGACATTCCAGTTAGTGCTCATGACTTTAAACGAAACTAGAAAGTGAAATTACTTAATAAAAATATGAAACTTGTTTAAAACTAAAAAAAAAACCATATGTTTTTCAGGATTACAGTGTTAAGCTACATAAATAACTACTAAAGCAATTTTAAAAGAAGAAAAGTAATAGCACTATATGAATAAGACTGCATATTTTATTTTTTCACTTCTTGCACAGTTGTATCTTCTCTTATTCTTCTGTACGTTTTTGAGCTGGATCAGTGGGTAGACGATGCTGGAGGAACATGTACGTTGTCATCTTCATTGTCCTGTCATGGACAGTCTGGGAGCATATTCACATTGGGCTTCCTTTTAGGGCCTAGTTAAAATTTCCTGAACTCTTAGAATTAGCTTTTGAAAACAAGTAAAGATCCCCCGACTGTTTGCATATCATATTTTCCAGGTAATGGGGCCCAGAGATTTGTACTTCAAAAAATTCTGTAGGAGCCTTGAGCCAATGGCATAGAAGATACTTACCTGGCATCATCATAGTCGTCTAGCTGATTTGTCAAAGGGCCACTGTAAGAGCCAGTGCTAGCAAAGCTTTTATATTATGTATGGTAGTTGTCCAGGTAAAAACCCAAGATATATATATTTGAAAGGAAGCTGTGATGAATGCTGAGCTGGTGGCCCTGTCAGCAAAGTATGAGTTCAGTAGAGGTATCAGCCAGGACTGCCAATGGTATTTCATAAACACTGCAGTGGGTCTGAGAGAAAGGGAGAAATTACACAGACTTTTGGCATGATTAATGCTATATATCATTGAGATGGTGTATAGCCACTTTTGAAGATAGCAAGGAAACCAGACTAGTGAAGATGAAAGAGTTCCACTAGAAAATAATCAGGAATAAATTAGTAAAGACAAGTTTGAGTGCCAGACCTAGAAACCCACTGAAGTTATTTCTTTTTAATATTTATCTAAAGATAATTTAGTACCATGGAAACATCCTTTCATTACAGCCTCTTGAGAAGTGTACATGTTACTCTCAAGACAAGCTAGACAATGTGACCTTGTGCTTTATTCTCTCAAGTACTTGCTTTGAAAAATGGACCACTGGCAAATATATTGTGAAATTTATTAAATTTTGCAAAGCATTATGATCACATTAAATACTTTATTGCTGTAGAACTTTAAAGAATTAATCTTCCCTCCTAAGCACTTTGCCTCTGTCAGTTAATACTTTGGCTATTAGTGAGAATGCTTTTTATTCTTGCACAGAGATGATATGATAAATGTTACAGGGTGCAGTGAAAGCCGAGAACTTATTACATTTCCTCACTCTCCTCCTCTTATAAATCTTTTTTTTTTTTTTTCCTTTCTGTTGGTCCTAGGGCTTGAACTCAGGACCTGGGCACTGTCTCTGAGCTTTTTTCCTAATGTTCTACCCCTTGAGTGACTTCTGGCTTTTTGGTGGTTAATTGGAGGTAGGAATCTCATGGATTTTTCCTGCCTGGGCTAGCTTCTAACAAGAGTCCTCAGATCTCAGCCTCCTGAGTAGCTATTATAGGAATTAGCCCCTGGTGCCCAGCTTCTTTTTAAATTTTTCAGTTATTAGTACTGTTACTATTACTATTATTATTTTAATATTATTTTGGTGTCAGTTCTAGTGCTTGAAATCAGGGCTTGAAGTGTTGTCCTTGAACTTCTTTTGCTTAAATCTAGCACTCTACCACTTGAACCACAGCACCACTTCCAGCTTTTTCTGAGTAATTTATTGGAGATAAGAGTCTCATGGATTTTCTTGCCTGCTGGCTTCCAACCACAGTAATCAGATTTCAGCCTTCTGAGTAGATTTGGTGGCTCACAAGTGTGAGCCAAAGTCTGGCTCTTTCCTTTTTGTAAAAAAGGATCTATGAGGCTGAGGCTAGTCTGAAACTGTTGGGCTCAAGCAATCTTTCTGACTCAGCCTCCCAAGCACCTGATATTATAGGTACATGCCTCTGCTCCCAGTTACCATAAACATTTTAAATAATTATCTCCACTATTGATAGCGTAGCATGATGTTTAACATACCCTAAGCATGAGTAATTTAGTAGTATTCTTTGAGCATACAGTTCTTTTTAAAGTGTAGACTACTACTTTGCACAAAATAAAACAGTTCTTAGACCTAAAGAACACGGTTCTGTTGTTAAATCAACATTTAAATTATATTATATTTGGCTACTGATGATCAGAATCTTTCCATTTTTTAATTTTGACAGAAAAGGTCCACTTTTCAAGATAATAATATATAATTTTGATTATTAAATTTAAATATTTAAAACTTAAATATTTAAAACAAATATTCAAACATTTAAATATTCATTTCAAAACTTGTTTGACTTGTTTTAATAATGCAGCTGAATTTTCAAAAATCTATTCGCTTTGTCATGTACTTTTATATGTCAGCTAGCAGACTGGGACTATAGCTGTAGGGAAAGGGCTAGCTTGTTCTAACTACTGGGGGTCTTTTTTTGACTTTCTAACTGAAACTGTTTGTTCCAGACAAACTTGGAAAGCAATCAGGCTCTACTAATTGGTCATTGTTATGGGACAGAATGAAATTATTGGCTTCTGTATGTACCAATTACACAGCTCTAACATTCAGAGCAACTGGGGGTAGTCTACAACTAGAAACTGAATCACTAATTAGGGACTACCCTGAGCATTGCTTATAAACAAGTAGATTATTAAAGCATAATCTCCATGACTTTACCCCTTTTTCACAAATTTAGACTGATGGGAATGAAAGACCTTGCACAGTGGTCTCAAAGGAACCAGATACTCCTCTTTGCTTATTAGATATGAAATTAAAAACCATGAGTCTCTGTTAAAATACAAAGATGTTCTGCATGGACATAAGCAGAGAAGCATAACTTTGACCTTTGTATTGCTGTACCTCCTAATTTATAGGTATAGAATTAAAGGCATCCCAAGGTAGTCTGAAAGTGAAGGGGCTAAGTTTAAGTAGAATCGTGTGTCTGTGCATCCAAAGTAGAAGGAGGGTAGGGAATTCATTAGAAATATGAACAGAAAGAAAAAGCCTTTTCCTTTCTGGGGATGTAGAATCCTTCCCCAGGGTTTTGGAGATGGTTAAGGAAAAGTTATATCTGACTAGGTGTCCTTTTAAAAGTTTAATTTTGAAAGGTTTCTGTGTGGACTGCAGAAGAAGATAAAACCACTGTTCATTATACCAAATGGCATAGATTCATTTGCAGGGATGACATTATAGTTTTTATATAGTATGGCATAGATTCATTTGCAGGGATGACATTATAGTTTTTATATAGTATGGCATAGATTCATTTGCAGGGATGACATTATAGTTTTTATATAGTACAGCTGCTATGATTAAAGGATTTTAAATGACATTTTTTTTTCCTTTTGGGGATAAGGCTTTCCCAGAAAAAAGATCCGATTCATTCTTTCCCCACTTAGGTTGAAGTAAATACCTCAAGATTTCTTATGGCAATAATGGCTTTGACTTTTTCCCCCCTAGAAACCAAGCTCTGTCCGCATTGATCAACTGGATCGTGAACAGTTCAACCCTGAAGTGATTACTTTTCCGATTATCGTCCACTTTGGGATACGCCCTGCACAGTTGAGTTATGCAGGAGACCCACAGTAAGATATTTCTCGGTGTTTGTCTTAGCCAATTGCACCTTCTACTAACAGCTGAATTAGTGGAGGAATAGCCTTTAGTGAACATTTATCTTTTTTAAAAAAAAAAAAAACTAAGCCCTGAAATGAGCCTTATTTCCAAATTTACACTTTAGGTTTTGGTAGCTCCTAAAGAATGATTTTTTTTCCTATCTATTAGACTGCAGGAAATTATTATTCAGTAGATTATCCTTGGCAGTCTTTGTCGATGTGAGTTCTATATAGCTTGAAACATTTAAAGAGCTTTTCCTTTATTCTTTGTTATAATAATCATTGTTATTTTTTTGAGTGCTTTCTTGTAGAAGATGGCACCATGTTGGTTACTAGTACTGCAGACTTTGTGCAGAATTGCATTTTGGGGAGGAATCTCAATAAGAGCACAAGATTCTATCAGAGCCAGGGTTTATGGTGGCAATAGGAGCCGTATCTTTCTACTCTTAATATTGACATAGCATTACACATGTTTTTATTTTTGGGGGGAGAAGAAGAGTATGTGTAGGAATGGAGATAGTACCATATGTTTTTCAGGAGTTTTTGGAGTTCCAACCATGTTAAACAGACAAACAAATAATTGCCTGACATAATTTTTTTTTAAAAGATTCATACTGGGAGAACAGGGCATGGGAGATTTTCAATTCATAACTGTAGTTATGGCTGATACATATTAGAAGAGGCTAAAGGGTTTTGTTCTTTTTTTCCTTCCTTTGGATAAAAGTATGAAGCAGTGAACCAGGCACTGTGTAAGTACTTCTTTATTTCCTCCATTCTTTAAAATAAAAGTGTCATCCAGGAAGGTGAGGGCCAGGCCAGGCTGAGGAAAGGGCAGTTTCAGTATGATGGAAAATACTTCACAAATCCCTTCTTGTCAGAAAAATGCTAGCAGAAGGGGGTTTGGTGCTGCTGGACTATCAGATGGCAGGATTGTGAGTTGGTAGAGGACTGCAAATTCTCTTTTCCGGGATGGTCTACAACAGTAGTCTTGAGACTGACCTCGTTGTCACATACTTGGCTGCAACAAATATGCCTATTTTTATCATGGTCAGTACAATTGGTGTTATACCATTCACCTTTTCCCCTTTCCCATGGATGACAAATACAGCTTTGTGGCTTGGGTATCAATACAAATGGGGTTCTCCATTCTAATATTCAACCTAGTCAACCAAAGAAATATGACTAAATAAAACCCTTCAATTATAGAGGTAACAGTGAGAAAACGGGACATGTTTCTACTGGCCAGAGTGTTCTTGGAAACAATTCCAAAGACTCATCCTTACCATTATACTTCATTTTCATCCTATATAAGCAATAATGTACTTAGTCACTAGGGTCCAAATGACTCTTGGCCATCTTTGTCTCCACCCTGGAGGTATAGCCTTCCTTAGAATGAAGGCTTGCTGCCATCTTTGATATTCAAACAATGTAATTATGATTGACCAGACCTACTGCAATACTTGGTTTTATGTCACTTTAACTTGTCTTCTCTTTGTCTAAGGTGTGTTTGTTTATCCTTCTCTTCAGGTACCAGAAACTATGGAAGAGTTATGTGAAACTCCGCCACCTCCTAGCGAACAGTCCCAAAGTCAAACAAACGGACAAACAGAAGCTGGCACAGAGGGAGGTGAGTATAGAACCCTGTTCCTTGGCGGTGAATTTATTTCAAGATAACCACATTGCACCATACGTCTAGAATAAGATAGAGAAAATACTTCCAAAAAAATCATGCTTCCCTTTCTTCATTAATATACTGGTTGTTTTTTTTTTTTTTAATCTTTTAGTATCCAAAGGAGCATTGCAAGATAAGCAAGTGCTCTACTAAATGTCTAACAGAAATTGAAGAAAGCTTAACATTTGTGAAATCAGTTTTTTTTAATCTTTAATTAGAGCATACAGTATATAACTTTAGGTCAGATTTCTTGGTCTTAAGATTGTAAAAACAAACAAACAACAATTCATCTTTCTGAAAGTTGATCTTTTCAGAAGGGCAAACTTGTTTTTATAAGCCTTTCTATCCCACGTTTCATATCATTTGTTATTAAGATGGGGTATTATTCTTATATTCCAGGATTTATACTTTAGATTATATTTTAAGAATAAGTACATTCAGTATAAATATAGATTTTTTTGTCTCAGTGAAATTTTATTCTGCTTTGTAGATTAAGAGCAAAGTCTGGAAGCTGGAAAAATATTGGAGTTCTGGTTTTGTCAATTACTATGACTTGAGCCACTAATTCTTTCTATAAAGGAAGGCTCTGAGAACTGACTGAAATGTCCCTCTCTTGGTGTACAAGGAAAGAGGTGGATGGGTGGTGGGCATCTGAAACTCCATTTAAGATCTCTCTTCCATGGTATTTGGCCTGTAGTAGGAGCTTTGCCATTGGTGGAATTGGTGAAATTTTGTAGCATTGTCTTTATTTATTTTTGTTATAGTGGTTGCTTTTTTTTTGGTCGGTCATGGGGCTTGAACTCTGGGCCTGGCCGCTGTCCCTCACTCTTCAGCTCAAGGCGAGCGCTCTATTGCTTGAGTCACAGCACCACTTCCGGTTTTCTAGTGGTTTATTGGAGGTAAGAGTCTCACCCCGGGCTGGCTTTGAACCTAGATCCTTAGATCTCAGCCTCCTGAGTAGCTAGGCTTACAGGCGTGAGCCACTGGTACCCGGCTGTTTGTTTTTTTAAAATAAGTTTTTATTGTGAAAATACTGTACAGAGGGATTACAATTACATGAGCAAGGTAATAATGAGTACATTTCTTATCAAGCATTGTTATCAAGCATTGTTGCCTCCTCCTTTGTTTTTTGGTTATTGTTTTTTAAGGCAGAGTCTTAATTGTATAGCCCAGGGTAGCCATGAACTCATGATTCTCTTGCCTTTTAGCTTCCTGAGTGTTGGGATTGCAGGTGTCAACAACCCTGCCCAGCTTTTTATTATTTATTTATTTAAATAAATGTTTTGCAAATCTGAAGGCAACACGTAGAATTATGTGCATAACAGATAACTGATTTTCTTTCTTAGGTGGAAATGCTTAAAATAAGACGATGTGAATATAATTTTTGCATTGCTGATTTCCAATCTCAGATATCTCATATTGTTTTATCAGTGAAAGAGGATATTTTCTTTCAGAATACCAGATAGGTAGGTTTGGTGTAGAGTTTTTTTCTCATCTGGTTATTAGGAACGGTCGCCTGTTACCTAAGGCTTCATACATCCTGGTCTTCGTTTAAGATAAAATAATGTAATTTTGTGTGAAGATGTTTGAGTACCTTAATGTAAGGATATATTGAATGCTTCTAACTTACTTTCTCATGCTTGGCTTCATTTTGCATTCCAATTGTTGAGTTACTTATCCTAATACATTTTTTTCTAGGAAGCACTCCAAAAAATCCGACAGAAGAATACAATGAGACGAGAAGTAACTGTGGAGCTCAGTAGCCAAGGATTTTGGAAGACTGGCATTCGTTCTGATGTCTGTCAGGTGATGATACTTCTGAGAACCTGGCTTTGTCCACAGAGTTTCCCCTTTAAGGCTTTGGCCTTGAAGTTCTTCTAATGGAGCTGTTTCTATGGAATGTACTAACTAGATGAACACTAACCTTAGATGATTGTTTGAGTTTGGATTTTTTTGTCTCTTTTGGTTGTGTGTGTGTGTGGATGTGTGTGTTGTAGAATTTTCATATATAGCAGTGTTAAAATTTAGTATCTTTACTTTGAATGGTGTCATCTGTCTTCAGATGCACCTGCCTGTTTGCAACATGAGTATAGGTGCAACACAGCTAACCCAGCCATCATATAGACAGGCCTCGTTAGTGTACAAACTGTCTGGACCAGTGATTCAAATTTGTATTACAGAGAATGGAAGGCATTAATGAACTGTAGCGTGTATTATGTTTATTCATTAGTAAATCAGTAAACATTTCACATTTAACCCAAATGACAGTACTTTTTTTCCTTCGGTAAACTCAATAGAGAAATATTTCATCTCTGTATAACTGACTCATTAATAAGCAGCCCCCCCCCCCCCCCCATCCCCTATAGAATTTTACACCAGATTAGATATCTCCCCAGATGAGCATATTCCTTGGCTCTTCCCTTGATTCTTTTGTCATGATTGATGTTGGCAGCATGAGAATTAGAACAGAAAGGAGTTGCAGACTGGGTAATGGAGCTTGCTTTTTTCCAACCTTTTGGAAAATACTTTTAGGCTCCCACTTTCCTGTTGTGATGGAAGCAATGTGTTGTAATGAATGCAGACAAGTTGTTCTTAAGCATTCATTTCATCATAATGAATTTTTTCTAAACAACAACAAAAACAACAGAATCAATGTTGGCATTTAATTATTATTGAACAGTGGAGTTTAAACCAATAATTAAAAGTATGGCCGTATGATTCACTTTCTAAGTCACAGCCAAAGTTAACCCTTTATATTATGATAAACTGCTATATGCAGTATTGCCCATTAGGCTGAAAGTAATCTACAATGGTCACCTACTACATCCACCATTTCCTCAGGTGTTTTGCCAGGTGACCAGTATATTTTACTGTTAATGCTTTGAGATTAGAATGTTTTATTTGCTTTTATTCTTTCTCTAGACTTTGTAGGCATTTCTCCCCATTTTTTTCTATTTATTAGTGTTTCTCTGAAATTAAATGTATGTTATTATAAGATGACTTCATAAGAACCAGAGAGCAAAAAGGTAAGCAATCTGCTCAAAACCTGGCAATCTCGGTGATAGATCAGAGTTGATTGTTTAAGAATGTTATGATACTGGACACTGGTGGCTCACACCTGTAATCCTAGCTACTCAGGATGCTGAGATCCGAGGATTGCAGTTCAAAGTCAGCCCAGGCAAGAAAAGTCTGTGAGACTCTTAGCTCCAGTAAACCACCAGAAAACCGGAAGTGGCACTGTGGCTCACCTTGAGCTGAAGAGCTAAGGGACCACGCCCAGGCCCAGAGTTCAAGCCCTACAACTGACCCTCCCCCCACCAAAAAAAAAAAAAGAATGTTATGAAATTTTAGAAGCTGGGCATGTAGCTCAGTGGTAGAGTGCTTGTCTAGTCCATTTGAGCTCTTAGATTTGATTCACAACATTGCAAAAAAAAAAAAAAGTCACTAAATTGTGTGTGACTCATTGAGAACTAGAAGAGACCTTAGAGAACTTCTAGTCCTGTGATTGCTTGCTTGCTTGTTTGCTTATGTCTATATGTATGTATTTATGCATGTATGTATGTACATATGCATGATTGCATGCATGTATGTATGTATTGGAGTTTGAACTCAGGACCTCAAGCTCTTGCTTAGCTTTTTTCATACAAGGCTGGTACTCTACCACTTGAGTCACAACTTCACTTCTAGCTAGTTAACTGGAGATAAGGGTCCCACAGATTTTTGCTGCCCAGGCTAGCTTAGAACCACAATCCTCAGATCTCACCTCCAGAGTAGCTAAAATTACAGGCATGAGCTATCTGAGCCTGAATTTGATTTCTATCTCTCTTTCTCTCTCTTTTTTCTTTTAACATGCTTTTGGTTAACTTCAAAGTGTATTTTTCCAACAAAATCTTGTATAAGCCTAGTTTGTGTAAAAGTAGACTATCACTATGTGATGGACTGCTAACGATGGGTGTGGAAGGAGCATCCTGTTTAACTTGATTTCTCCTTTAGTCCTTAAGCCAGCTTTCCTATGTTGTTGTGAAAGCACTGAGCCCTTTTCCCCTTACTTTTGATGGAGCAACGGCAATGCTAAGGGATCTGTTCCAATGTGGTTTTGTGTTCTTCTGCTGCATCACAAAGCCCCATGCTAGCTCCCCTATAGAATTAAAGCTGCTTGAGAACTTGATCATCCTAGCTCTGTGTTGTCTTTTGCATTCTGTTTCAAGGTTGTTAGGCAAAAAGACTCATCCCCTTGACTCACTGGTGAGAGAAAATGGGCCTGATTAAACCCTGTAAGGCAAATGCTTCACGATGTAATAATAACCCTCCCAGAGTCAGTGTCTCTTCTTTCCAAAGAGAACTAGCCATGCCAGGAGCCACACTTCCCTTCGCTCTTTCTCCTGATGGGTGTCTTCCTAAGATTCCATGAGATTATCCTCGTATCTTAATGACTTGAAGAGAATGCAAACTGATGTCTATTAGATCATATGTACAGAAGGAACTGCTTGATGGTTTGTAAAAATAAAAACATGTTTGCATACAAACGAATGAAAATCAGTCAGTCAGCTATGTGAAGAGTCTATTCAAGTAGAAAAGATGGAAATTGAAGCAGGATGACATTGCGGAGTCCAGGGATGGATGATGATTAGAGGCAAAATTATAATGCAGACACCCTTGTGCTGCATGGATGAAATGCTTCTTTATATATCAGAATCATCTAGAAGGCATTCCATGGCTGTTTATCTTTTTTTTTTTATTTATTATGAAAATACTGTACAGAGGGTTACAATTACATGGGCAAGATAATTAATACATTTCTTATCAAGCATTGTACCCTCCTCCTTTGTTTCCCCTTCCCATCCCATCCCATCCTCCCCCTGCCCCCCCCCCAACCCTCGCCTCCCCCCCCCCCCCCCCCCCCCCCCCCCCGGCCGAACCAAAGTTGTAAAGTTCGTTTTCGACATAATGACTTGTACGTCTCATTGTTGCAATGGGTCTACCTGTATCCCTAATTTAAACGATTTGTTTTTCCCCTTCCCCTCCACAAATTATAACAACATCAAATACAGTGAAAGCAGGGGTTATACCGTGGGGGAGGGACATACAAAGCAACAAAGAAATCATCTTATAAATGTGTTAGAAACAATCGCATGAAAGAAAAAAAACATTTGAATACATATCTTAGGGTTCATTTCCCTAACATCAACTTATCTGACCTTTTCTGTTTGACTCAGACATATACTAGTTATTGCAAATAAGGGAAACCATGGGACCTATGTTTCTTTGGGCTTGGCTTACTTCACTTAATATAATTTTTTCAAGTCTTTCCATTTCCTAACAAATGGGACAGTGTCATTCTTTGTGATGGAGGCATAGAATTCCATTGTGTATATATACCATATTTTCTTGATCCATTCATTTACTGAGGGGCATCCGGGTTGGTTCCCTGTCTTAGCTATGGTAAATAAGGCTGCAATAAACATAGTCGTGCTGGTAGCTTTAGTGTGATCTTGTTTGTGAACATTTGGGTAAATGCCCAAAAGTGGGATTGCTGGGTCATAGGGGAGCTCTATGTGGAGTCTTTTGAGGAAACTCCATACTGCTTTCCAAAGTGGTTAAAGAAGTTTACACCCCCACCAACAATGCAGTAAGGTTCCCTTCTGTCCACATCCCCTCAAGCACCTGTTGTTATTAGAGTTCTTGATTATAGCCATTCTAACTGGGGTGAGGTGGCATTTCTTTTATGGCTAGAGAGGTTGAACATTTCTTCATGTGTCTATTGGTCATCCTTCTTTCCTCTTCAGAGAAGTTTCTCTGTAAGTCTTTAGCCCACTTATTTATTGGGCAGTTGCTTCTTTTAAGATTTGTTGTTGGGGGATTTAATTTTTTGAGTTCCAGGTATATTTTAGATATGTCTCAGACCCTTGTCCGTTGTATGGCTAGTGAAGATGTTCTCCCAATCTGTGGGCTTTCTATTGATCTTGCTAGCTATGTCCTTTGCCATGCAGAAGCTCTGCAATTTCATGCAGTCCCATTTGTCCAACCTGTCTTGATTTGTTGTGTTTCTAGGTCTCTATTAAGAAAATTTTGGCCTGTGCCAAGTAGACCTAGGGTTTCTCCTATTCCTTCCTGTAATGTTTTTAGAGTGTCTGCTTTGACTCTGAGGTCTTTGATACATTTGGAGTTGATTCTGGGGCAGGGTGATATAGAAGGATCTAGCTTTAGTTTTCTACAAGTAGTTAACCAATTTTGTCAGCACCATTTACTGAAGAGGTTGTCTTTCTTCCATTCTATTATTTTAGCTCCCTTATCGCAGATTAGATGGCTATAGGTCTGTAGGTTCATTTCTGGGTTTTCAATTCTATTCCATTGGTCCTGAGGTCTGTTCTTGTGCCAGTACCAAGCTGTTTTGATTACCATGGCTTTATAGTAGAGTTTGAAATTTGGTATTGATATTCCTCCAGCACTGTTCTTTCTGTTGAAGATTGTTTTTTGCTATTTGGGGTCTTTTATTGTTCCATATGAATTTTTGGATTGCCTCTTCTATTTCCTTGAAGAATGAGGTTGGAATATTGATAGGTATCGCATTGAATTTGTAGATAGCCTTGGGATGGCTGTTTATCTTGATATCAGAAATATAATTTCACCATCAGTACGCTCAGAGTTGTGAAAGTTAACTATTGCTTAATACACCCACATATGGAGGTGTCACCTTGAGAGAATTTGGAGGTGTTATTCCTCATCTCATTTATTACATGGGAGCAGCCTGGTTCTAATTTAAATGCCAAATCCTAAAGGAAGGGAGAAATAGCTTCCTGGGAGGGCAGTGTTGACATTTGTCCAGGATAGATAAGGTTGAGTTTTGTCTCAGGATAGTTAACTATTTTTCTAAACGCAGGATGACTGCGCGGGCCATGGGTCCCCAGTGAGGGCTGGGAAATCCATTGCTCCTTTGGAGTTTTCAAACTCTTAGCCATTCTCATGTGGTGCACACAGATCTCTAATGCAGTTGCCTCTACAGTATCAAGATTAGACATTTTGGTTGATTTATCCTGAAATTCTTTTGGTCAATAGTGTGGAGAAACAAAACTGTTTCCTATGCATTTAGGTTACTAAGTGAGCATTAAGAGCCAAAAACTGGGTATGCAGGTTTATTTTATTTCACCTTTGGTTTTAAGAGTTTCTATGAAGAAATTGAAGATTATTATATAATTATGTAAAAATATTTTTGTGAGGATGGCCAATAGACACATGAAGAAATGTTCAACCTCCCTAGCCATAAAAGAAATGCAAATCAAAACAACATTGAGATACCACCTCACCCCAGTTAGAATGGCAAAAATCAAGAACTCTAACAACAAAAGATGCTGGAGGGGATGTGGACAGAAGGGAACCTTACTGCATTGTTGGTGGGAGTGTAAACTTGTTCAACCACTTTGGAAAGCAGTATGGAGGTTCCTCAAAAGACTCCACATAGAGCTCTCCTATGACCCAGCAATCCCACTTTTGGGCATTTACCCAAATGTTTACAAACAAGATCACACTAAAGCTACCAGCACAACTATGTTTATTGCAGCATTATTTACCATAGCTAAGATATGGAACCAACCCAGATGCCCCTCAGTAGATGAATGGATCAAGAAAATGTGGTATATATACACAATGGAATTCTATGCCTCCATCAGAAAGAATGACATTGCCCCATTTGTTAGGAAATGGAAAGACTTGGAAAAAATTATATTAAGTGAAGTAAGCCAAGCCCAAAGAAACATAGGTCCCATGGTTTCCCTTATTTGCAATATCTAGTATATGTATGAGTCAAGCAGAAAAGGTCAGATAATGTGATGTTAGGAAAATGAACCCTTAGATATGTATCTTAATGTTTTTTTCTTTCATGCATTTGTTTCTAATGCATTTATAAGATGATTTCTTTGTTGCTTTGTATGTCCCTCCCCCATGGTATAACCCCTGCTTTCACTATATTTGATGTCGGTATAATTTGTGGAGGAGGTGGGGAAAAACAAGTCGTTTAAGGATACAGGTGGACCTGTTGCAACAATGAGAAGTACAAGTTGTCATGTCGAAAACGAACTTTACAACTTTGGTGCGGAGGGGAGGGGGATTGGGTGGGGGGGCAGGGGGAGGCTGAGAAGGGATGTGAAGGGTAAACAAAGGAGGAGGCTGCAATGCTTGATAAGAAATGTACTCATTATCTTGCCCATGTAATTGTAACCCCTCTGTAAGTATGTTCACAAAAAATAAAAATAAAAATTAAAAAAAAAAGAAAAGTTAAAAAAATATTTTCATGATTCTACAGTCTATTTATTTTTACTTTTTGGCTAGTCCTGGGGCTTGAACTTAGGGCATGAGCCTTCTTGTGTTCAAGGCTAGTGCTCTATTATTTGGACCATACCGCCACTTCCAGTTTTTTCTGAGTAGTTTATTGGAGATAAGAGTCTGGTGAACTTTCTTGCCTGGCTTGGCTTTGAACTCCAATCCTCAGATCCTGGCCTCCTGAGTAGCTAGGATTATAAGTGTGAGCCACCAGTTCATCTGTTTTTTCAGAAATTTAATTGTCATATTTTCTGTCCTCTTCTTCCTGTTTCCCCACTCATGCTGTCCTGAAAGCCACCTTTTAAAAATGACCTATTTTCTCATTTTCTTTTTTTCTTTTTGTTTTGGTCGGTTGTGGGGCCTGAAAGCTGGGCCTGGGCGCTGTCCCTCAGCTCTTCTGCTGAAGGCTAGCACTCTACCACTTGTGCATTAGCCCCACTTCCGGCTTTTTCTGCTTATGTGGAGCTGAAGAATCGAACCCAGGATCTCATGCATGTAAGGCAAGCACTCTACCACTGAGCCACCTTCCCAGCCCCATCTCGTTTTCTTATAAGCAAATACATGCAGCTATGCAGTGCTTTATCATGGGATACTGAGGGCAGAGAGATACATTGTGAGGCACTTTTGTTGTGTGAGTATCTCAGAATATACTATGATGTTTGTATGTAAACATGGATGGTAGTAGTCACTTGATAGAAGACTATATTCTACTTTGGCTGCATATTTTGTATTCGTATTGTTGTATTTTTTCTTTTTCTTTCCTTTTTATTACAAGGGGTTACTATTCCATGGGTCAGGTTATGAGTACAATGCTTCTTGATCAGTGTCACCCTCTCCCTCATTCTCCCCCATTTTCCCTCTCTGGTCACAAGTTATGTAGTTCATTTTTTACAAAGTGTGCATTGAATATAATGACTGTATTTGCTCACTCTTCCTCTCCCTTCCTATGCTTCCCCCTCTTCCCATCCCCCAAAACACGTTTCCACTTCCTGGTATTTATTTTGATAAACTGTACATTAAATAGAGGAATTACACCTTTAGATTCCTCCCCTAAGTATAGCACTTAGAAAAACAAAATGGAGGGCTGGAATGTAGCTTAGCAGTATAGTGCTCGCCTAGTATGCATGAAGCCCTGGGTTCCTCTGTATCACATAAACAGAAAAAGCCGGAAATGTTGCTGTGGCTCAAGTGGGTAGAGTGCTATTCTTGAGCAAAAGAAGCTTAGGGACAGTGCCTAGGCCCTGAGTCAGTCAGGCCCCAGAACTGGCAAAATAAAAAAAGAAGAAAAGAAAAACAAAAGTGGACAAAGTTCCAGTAATTTTATCTCAATGGCATGTCTCTAGGCAACCTCCAATGGTAGAACCAACTCATCCTTTTTCTCTCCCAGAGATAGTAGTAAGACCTTGTACATTGAGGTGTTTTGTGTGCTTTTATTGAATTGAACCGGCAAGAAAGACACTGTTGACTAGAGATCCTATTTAGTTAGAACCAGACTTTCATTCTTTACAAGCTAATAATACAGGGAGCTGATTTCTATAGTTTCAAGCAAATCCATTTTCATGTATTTTTAAATCATGCCAGCTTAAAATACTTGGAAGACTGAAGAGATACAAAGCAGCTGTCAATCATCCTGTAGGCTGTGCCCAGCCTTCTGCTTTCAGTGAATAAGAATGATTCCTTCATTCTCTTGAGTTCTAGGCAAACATTATTAAAGAAAAGAATAAGATGTGCTTTCATGAAATCATCTCCCAATAAGGAATCAGTCAGATGAAAAGTGATTGAAACAGAATATAAGTTTGGTGTCCTCAGATGCATGAATTTTATTGCTGGTTTTATGAAATGGTCAGTATGGTGTGAGATTTAACATTTAATAATGTTAATTCTAGGGTGGCTTTGGGAATTATCCAGTTGCATATTTCCTACCTGAAAGGCAGTGAGGAGTTTGTGAACGCATTAAAATTATGCACGGCGTTTGTGCGCGCACGCGCGCGCACACACACACACGCACACACATTTCTAGGAGAGTCATTGATTTGTAAAAAGAATTGACCCTAGATATAAATAGATGAGTCCTAGTCCATTCCATTATGAAACTAGTGACAAGGAGTCATGGAGATGCATGTAACTTACTTGAGGCTGCCCTGCTGCATACTGCCTGTATCAGAGCTAGACTTGAATGAGGGATAACTGGCCTCATTATGAGCCTTTACTAACTGAGCATGGTGGCCCTTGCCTATAATCTCTGTACTCTGAAAGTTGAGGCGAGATGATCACTAGTTCAGTTCCAACTTGGGCTCAAGACTGAGACTCTCAAAAAAGAAAAAACAAAACAACAAATAAAAAAAATTAAAAGATTTTTATGTTTCTCTTTTAATTTTTTTTAACTGTGCCTAGGATCAGCTACATTTGTCATTCCCATTTTACAAGTGAGAAATCAAATAGCTTGCCTCAAGATACAATGAGTGAGTGGTAGTATACACGGTTAGGATCCAGGCATTCTGGTTCCAAGATATACCTGTAGCAACTATTAATGCTCTGCTTCTCCTAGGTGATTTGCCCAGCTGCTATACACCCAAGGTGGAATTTAGGCTGTGAACATCGTTCTTGTTTGTTGTTAAAGAAATGGAACATTTTGATAGCTTTGTATAGAGTTATAACACATTGAATTATGGTTTTTCTAGCATGCCATGATGCTGCCTGTTTTGACCCATCATATCCGTTATCACCAATGCTTGATGCACCTGGACAAGTTGATAGGATATACTTTTCAAGATCGGTGTCTGTTACAGGTAAAAATTACCCTCCTGTGCACTCACATAATAAAATAGAGGTAATTCATCTCACAGATGACAGATGGTGCATTGAGTCTCTTCTGAGAGACTACTACTTTCCAATCCTTTCACATGTGAGGCTGTCCCTGAAGAAATAGGCAACAACTAAAATATGCCTATCAATCTCGGAAGTGCTTCTTTTAGCTCTTCTAGCTCTGCTGGATATTCTAATTCTCTTCTGAAAGATAAGGATTTTTCGCTTTGTTTTCAGAAGAGGGCTGTACCAGAGTTCTGAAAATTTGATTATGGATACAGATAGAGAGATAAAGGTTAAAATTGCACTGGATGGACAGCTCCTCTCTTGCTTGTGTCATTTGGAATGACCTAGAGATGGTTGTGTTGGTGCTCAAGTTTTGAGACTCAACCTACTGTATTGAAATTTCAGCTGGCCATGACGCATCCAAGTCATCATTTAAATTTTGGAATGAACCCAGACCATGCCAGGAACTCCTTGTCTAACTGTGGGATTCGGCAGCCCAAATATGGAGACAGAAAAGTCCATCACATGCACATGAGGAAAAAAGGTTGGTTTTAGATGACTGTAGGATCCTGTTCTCATAGGGTTGGTCTGTGCTTTCTTGTAAATTACCTTACTCCCTCTCCCCGGAAGTGGTTCTCTGGCAGTCTTTAAATCTTCTTCCTCTGGTGCTTCCTAAGTCATGCTTAATAATATTCACTCTGGGAAGAGTACCATAATGGAAGTGGATGAATTTTTTTAAGAAAAATTTGGGCCATGGAAGTGGCGCTGTAGCTCAAGTGGTAGAGCGCTCACCTTGAGCTGAAGAGCTGAGGGACAGCGCCCAGGCCCAGAGTTCAAGCCCCACAACCGACAAAAAAAAAAAAAAAAAAAAGAAAAATTTGGGCCTTCTCTCAAGTGTTTTAAATATTTTTCAGATATTTAGACCTATAGATATGAAATCTTTTAAAGTCATTGGGGTAAGAAAGTGTTCTTTCCTTGTTTTTTTGTGCGTGGGGTGGGGAGGGCTGGTGGTCTGGTGTTTGAGCTCAGTGCCTAGAGCTTGCTGACAATCTACCCCATGAGCCTTGCCTCACCACCAGCCCTTTCTGCTTCTCTTATTTTTCAGGTAAGATCTTGAGTTTTTGCCTGAGACTGGCCTGATCCACATACTTACATCTTCCAAATATCTGGAATTGTTGTTGTGTATCTCATTTTTTTGGTTGAGGTGATATTTAGATTACTATTTTGCCTCAGTTTCCCTCAAACCAATATCCGCCCCCCCCCCCCCCCCCCCGCCTTTTTTTTATTTGGTTTTTGTTTTTGGTTGGTCATGGGGCTTGAACTCTTTGGGCCTGGGCCTCTGTCTTTCAGCTCTTCAGCTCAAGGCTAGTGCTCTTCCACTTGAACCACAGTGCCACTTCCAGTTTTCTGGTGGTTTATTGGAGATAAGAGTCTCATGGACTTTTTCTGCCTGGGCTGGTTTTGAATCTTGATCCTCAGCTCTCAGCCTCCTGAGTAGCTAGGATTACAGGCATGAGCTTTCCCTTCTTTTTTGAAGTAGCTAGGATTAGAAGCAGGAGCTACTGCATCTGGTCTTAGAAATTTTTCTTTCTGAATGCTATCTGATGGTCTCAGACACTTCTAACCGTATTACTCTTGTATTTGTGTTCTTTTCAAAACAGGAATTAACACCCTAATAAATATCATGTCACGCCTTGGCCAGGACGACCCAACCCCTTCAAGGTAAAAGGGATATTTTTAAAAGACAGATTTATTGTGAAGCAATTCCATACCATGTCATTTATACACTTAAAGGTTTAGAATCCAGTGGTTTGTTATATGTTTGTGAAATTGTGTACCTACTGTCTAATCTAAGAATGTTTTCTTCATGCTAGACCAACCCCCACACCCGTTCACAACCCCTGTTTTTCCATAGCCTTTACAGCTCTTGCTGGCAACCTGTGCTTACTTTCAGTCTATGGACTTGCCTATTCTGAGCATTTCATGTGCATGATATCATATCATAGGCTGTCTTTTATGGCCACAAACGCCTCATTCCTGAGATTAGGAAGAAGTCAAGGGTTTGCTATGAATACTTCCGTACAATAGCATCCTCAAGGCTCTAGCCATATGAGCTAAGCACAGGTACATCGGAAAGGAAGAAGTATAACTATCGCTGTGTGCAGATGGTTTGATCATGTATTCAACCTCTCACTACTGAGTAGATATTAACTATGGGTTTCACACTGAGGAAGTTTTCTTCTATTCCTAGTTTTTGAGTGTGTGTATGTGTGTTTTTTCTTTTTGTGAAAGGCTATAGCATTTGTTTTTGTTTCAATTTTTTATTGGGACACATTAATTAAGGGGGTTGGTTCACTGTGACAGTTCCCCACATTATAAACAATGTATCCTGATCAACCTCACCCACTCTAGCATTATGAGTTTTTTTTTCCTGCTTTTTCTGGATTGAGATAAGCATGTTTTTTTTTTCTTTTTAAGTTCACTCATATGGGTATCAAAATAATTAATTTGGAAGTGATAAATCAAACTATACTTTCCTGAGATAAATCTCACTTGATCCTGATGAGTAATCTTTTTTATTATTTGCTGCCAAATTTAGTTGGCTAGGAGTTTTTCTGTCTACCTTCATAGGAAGCCAGTCCATAGTTTTCCGTTCCCACAATGTTTTTGTCTGTATTTTTTTTTTTATTATGGTATTGGCCTCATGGAATGGGCTGACAGGTTTTATAGATTGGCCTTCTTTATTTTATTGCCTATACATTTATTGTCTCTATACATTCATCTCTGACTTTTGTGTGGCTACCAGTGCCTAAAGCATCTGGGAAGGAAGCAGTCTGCGTCTGTGTAAACCCACAAATACCCCTTGAAACTGAGCAGCAACTGACACAGATAGGTAGCGCCTGGAAGTTGGGCTTTGTGTGGAGTGCATTGAGTTGTCTCTGAACTCATAGGGGAGAGAGCTTGGGGCAGTGTTCTTGTGTAAGTGGAAAGTTGAGTAGCTGTGGCGTGAAGGTGTGGTTTCCCTGGATGAAAGGTAGGTAGACAGGGTTAGGCGTGACACAGTTGAGGCAGTTGCCTCAGGGGATAGCGGCCTCCACAGCGAGGAAGACCTAATAGCTTCTTTCTCTTCATATAGGTAACGTATCTTATCTGAAAGGCTCCATATTTTGGACTTTTTCAGATTTTAGAGTATTTTCATTGGCCTTATTACCTTGAGTAGCCATCATCCCCAAATCCTAGTGCTCTAAAATCCAAAACCTCTTGAGGAATGATACTCAAAAAGTTTTGGGTTTGGGGCTGGGAAGGTGGCTCAGTGGCAGAGCGCTTGCCTTGCATGCATAAGCCCCTGAGTTCGATTCCTCCGCCCCAAATAAGCAGAAAAAGCTGGAAGTGGCGCTGTGGCTCAAGCAGTAGAGCGCTAGCCTTGAGCTGAAGAGCTGAGGGCAGCACTCAGGCCCAGAGTTCAGACCCTACAAAAAAAAAAAAAAAGAAAAAAAAAGCTTTGGGTTTGAATACAAATTATTTGTTTGGGATTTGGGGATGAGGGATGATGAATTTCTGTGCTACTTTTCCCCCCTTCCCCATCTGGGGACTTGAACTCAGGGCTTCAGTGCCATCCCTATGCTTTTTTGTTCAAGACTAGTGCTTTACCACTTGAGCCACAGTCCCTGCTTCCATCTTTTAAAAAAAATTGCCTCTAGTTGCTCAGTTTTTCTTTCTTTCTTTCTTTCTTTCTTCCTTCCTTCCTTCCTTCCTTCCTTCCTTCCTTCCTTCCTTCCTTCCTTCCTTCCTTCCTTCCTTCCTCTCTCTCTTTCTCTCTCTCTCTCTTTCTTCCTTTCTTTTCTGTTCTCTTCTTTTCTTTTTCTTTTTGTTGGTTGTGGGGCTTGAGCTCAGCATCTGGGTGCTGTCCCTGAGCTCCTCTGCTCAAGGCTAGCTGCCACTTTGAGCCACAGCTCTAGTTCTGTTTTTTTGGTGGTTAACTGGAGAGTTGTCAATATAAGTTGTATCTTTTGATGGAATTGTTTAAATCTTATGATTTATAGTTTTTGTCTTATTAAAAGGTATCTCTCTAATTAGAAGCATGATTCAAAGTTGTGGTTCATCCCCAGTAGTTCAAAATGAATGAATGAATGAGTAAAAGGTAAGGCTTTTTGGCTGGGAATGTGGCTTACTGGTGGAGTGCTTGTCCTAGACTTCTTTCCCAGCACTGTGAGTGAGAAGGATTGGGAAAGACAGACAGACAGACAGACAGATAAGCAAGTAACAGGCTTTTTTTTTTTTTTTTACCATGGCAGAAGGAATGGTATTTGAGATGTGGTGTCATTTCTGAAATCACTGTTTGGAAAAGTGGGCATGGACAGAGAACAAATTGGCTCTCTTGCCCTTTGCCTTCTGCCTTTTGCTGCTGTGTTGAGAGCCTCTTGCAGTGAAAGTGCTGCTTTTTCTGATGTAAATTCGACCCTAGTGTCTTTTCAGAAAGAGCCCCCAGCTTGGGCCGCCAGAGTCTGCTGCTATTTGACTGCTGGTGGCTGGCAGTCCACAGCTATGCCCTGTGCCAGAAGCTGGACTTAATGAAGCTTCTTACAAATTTAATTCAGCAGACATTTATCCGGAGTCTTTTAGTTTGAGGCAGTTTGTAGGTATTTTAGGGGCTCCAAAGGCTAGAAAACCAAAGGCCCACTCTCCAGGAAGACCGACTGCCTCGGGTGGGGTGAGAACACTAGGAACATAAATAACTTAGTATGGGAGAGACTCTTATAAGTGCTTCTGTGCAGATCAAAAGTGAAAACATACCCAGAAAACTGCCGAGGGGCTGCGGATAGATCTAGCTGTTGTTCAGGGATTATAGGTCAGTTTTATACTCTGCACTTGAATAATTGAGATGGCTTTAAACTGTTTGCCCTCTCCCCTATTTGTTTCTTAGTTGGTCTTATAAAATAGGATGCGGCAGTCTCTCTGTTCCTTGGAAGTGTTTGTCTTTGAAGATTAAAATTCTAGGAATCAGTGGTGAGATGTTCTCAACTAAGGGGAAGGAGTAGAGCCAGTCAGTCTCTCTGTGGGAAGTCTGTCTCTGGCACTGATAAAAGTGAGAAGGTGGGACCAAGGAGGACAGGGGAAGGGGTCCAGATTACAGGTTCTTGATGAAACTTCCTGCTCTGCTTCTCTGAGCCTTCTGCCCCATTCTGCTGTTGTTCTTTTTAGGATTGTCTTTGCAGTCAGCCAGCTTGCTTATTTCTTAGTCTACTCTGCTGCAAAGCATCTACCTCTTACACAAAGACTGACGTGTCCACCTGTAGTCCTAGCTCCCATGACATATCCCCGGGCCACTTACTTTCATCTCCTAGTAACTCTCCACTGACTAGAAGGCTCAGACTTCCTAAGCTGTCAGGTATTTCCTTTCCCTTCCACACAGATCTTGGTGCTCATCCATTTGCCTTTGCAGTTCCAGTGTGGCCTAGTCTACGTCTGGCTCAAATCCTGCCAGTACGTATATTCTGGTTTCCTTGTATATAATCATGTTACGGAGCTTCTTTTCTTTATTGAACTGTAAAGATTTTGAAAGAGTGTGGTCTTACCTTTTTTTATTTTTCTTTTTTATAGCCAGTGCCTTTTGCAGAATAGGTCAGTAAATAGGTATTAAAGGGAGGAATGCCATTCACTTTACTGCTTTTATACCAGGCTACACCTTGTAAATAGACTAGGGAAACGGGGTGTGTTTAAGGAGAATAATGGTCAGGAGGGGTCTCCATGTCTGCTTAAGCTGATTTGGGCTCAGCTAGGATTTACAAAAAGGCACAAAGGCTTAACTTCACTTCACAGTGTTCGATAGCCTGCCTGCCATCAGAAATACCAAATACTGATGCTGGTATTACCTCAAGCATATGTGCCGCCCAGAATTTTTAGACAATATTGCTGTTTAACCACACAGGTCTCAGCTGTTTATTTAGCATGCAAATTGTGATTGAATACTACCACCAAAGAGTCTCTGAAGCATTAGTCATTTGGCATTCATTCACTGACAGTCCATGTATTGTCAGTAGGCCCTTTGCGAAGAGAAGCTGGAAGAGTAGTAATAGAGAAAAGAGCAAAATCAAGCAGCCATGGTTTGTTTTTCTTTGTTATTTTGGATTGGTAGACTCATTACCAGACAACAGAGAGATACATCTGGGCTCTTTCTTAAATGTCTGTGTGTTGAAGGGATGGTCATTGCAAAGTATAATCCCTTGGGACCCAGGGAGGACTGATTCTTAGATTCTGTGTGGACATGGGGAATCCACTGATGTTCAAGTCTTTCGTGTACAATGGCATGGTATTTATATGTCATCTACACACAAATCTTTAAATCATCTCTAGATTACTTATACAAGTAACCTAATACAAAGCAAGTGTTACTAAACTATTATTTACGAGCTAATGATCAAATGGTCAGGTTTAACACATTCAATAGCCTTTGAAAGTTCTTTTCAATCTGCAGTTACTGGAAGTCACAGATGGAAAATTCATGGCTACTGAGAGGCAATCATGTTTTTTATTTTCAGTCAGTTATATATAAGTATTCACATTCAAAATTCAGTAACAGCATGCACTGGATATATGTGGAGTTACTGGCTTAAGTGGTTCAACTTAAATCCACAAGATGGTTTGCACAGGGCCACTATGTCCAGTGGATCTGAGATCTGACAGGGCTGTGACCTCTTCTTCTCTTCAGTGTCCAGGCAGATGTAATGAGAATGAATTCCTGAATTGGTAGAAGGCTCGACTGACCTCCAAAGCCCTGTAGCTCTCCCTGTCAGTTGCTGGTTGAGGCTTGGAGTATACAAATGAACAGATATGTGAGCCATGCCATGATGGCTTTCTGTCAAGCACATGGCACCTTGCGGGCCTTACTGTTACAGAGAGATTATTGCATTTTGTAAAGTGCATTGAATTTCTAGGACAAAGTTTGCTTTGTAAATGTAACTGTTAATCTAGACTTTTCTGTGCCTATGTAGATCCAGTTCTCAAAGATAAAATAGAGTGTTTAGTCCCTGGTAAACAGATCATGTTGGTGCTTGCTAGTATTTATAGAGTGTGGTTAAGAAGATATAAACAATGGCAGAAGGGATCAAAGATTTGCTGCTGTGAGAAGTAGCAGTTCACTCTGTCGTTTACCAGATAAACCACTGGGTCAGGAATTGCCCAATGTAATAATAAACTAACATGGAATTTAATCCCCATTTTTGTTTGTGGCTTACTGCCAGAGCTTAGTCATAATGCAGAAATAGAAAAAACATGTGCTGGATATGGGAGACTTATTTAATGAGCCTGTTTAGAAATGTGACCTTGTGCCTCAGCAGACTGAATAACAGCCCAGCTCTGTGGTCATTAAAGTTCTAGACCTAGTTCTTGTCTCCAGGAAAGTTTATAAAAGAAATAAAGGCAATGTTCAGGCTACTTTGACTTTATTTAAAGTAGTGTAGCTTTTAAGCAGTTTTTATTCTTTTAGTTCATCTTTTATAATTCTTGGATAAAGCATAAGATGATCCAAATATGATTTGACTCCCCAACCCTACTCCAGCCTCCCACCTGAGTTCCTGACTTTCACATGAACTAGATTTGGTTATGTTGTGCTTTGAATTGTTAGGAAGAAAATAAAATCTCTGCCACAGAAAATGAATTCTTGGGCTGGGAAGGTGGCTCAGTGGTAGAGTGCTTGCCTTGCATGCACGAGGCTCTGGGTTCGATTCCTCAGTACTACATAAGCAGAAAAAGCCAGAAGTGGTGCCATGGCTCAAGTGGTAGAGCACTAGCCTTGAGCTGAAGAACTGAGGGACAGTGCCCAGGCCCAGAGTTCAGGCCCCATGACCGACAAAGAAAAAGAAAAAAGAAAATGAATTCATAGTTTATTGGCTCATGAAAAAGATTAGGATAATATAATTAACTCACCATTTCTTTTTTGTTTGTTTGCTTTTGGTTTTGTTTTGTTTTTTACATTTATTATTATTATTATCTTTAAGTAGTTGTACAAAGAAGTTCCCTTTCTACAAAACAGTATATGAATACAAGGTGTCTGACAACATTGTCAATCATCGCTTCTAACCCACCCCTTTTCTCGCTTTTTTTTAAAAATTGAGATTAGGTGATTACATAAATTTCACAGTATTGTAGAATAGTGATATTCAGTTAAAGTCACAAACACATTTTAACCTTCACAAGGCAAATTGTCATTATCATGGCCTATAAAGTTTGTGAATTCTATGAGCTTTGACAATACAAGTTATTTCTTCCACATTGGGTGATGTTTACATTTCTTTCCTTTAGCTTAGTGTAAGCGGTTCCCTCTTTCCTTTTCATTCCTCCCTTCCCATCACTGTCTTTGGGTTGCCTAGTTCTTTTTCTTCTATGTCCAGTGCAGCTGATGGGCCCCTTTGTTGTATGTTGTTCCATTTCCCACTTATTCTGAGTCCTCCTCCTGGCTTCCCCCCATTGCATGCATATATCTGCTATATATAGCTGGTCAAGAACATTGAGTCATTTAATAATGATATGACAAAATGAGTCTTATTTTTTAGCACTTGCCCTTTATTTATAGCTTATTAGCTTTAGAATTTTTCAAAAGGACTTCATGGTTACACCATTTTAACCATTGAATAAATAATGTCTCTGTTTTGTTTTCCAAGAATAATAACAGATGGTTTTGGAGTTCAGAAAACAGGCTTTTGTCAGGAAGCAAGATTTCAGTCCTAACTAGCTTCAATAAGATTATTTCTTGTTGGTGGGGGGGGGTTCATTGGGTCTTTCTGTTTGCTTTGTTCATTGTTTTTGACACCATTTCTGGCTCAAGACTGGTCTTGAGCTCTTGATCTTCTTGCATGTCTCCAAAATGCTGAGATTACAGGTGTATGCCACCATGCCCAGCTTGAGTTCTTAAAAAAAAAAAATCAGAACAAAACATAATGTTTTATGTTTTACTGTGGGACTAAGTCACTCTTAGCTAGTGGAGTAGCAACAATAACAAAAAAATTAACATGTCCTTTAAAAAATTTTAGATTATGAATCCTTTAGTATAGCCATTAAAATGAATTTTTTATCACTCCCACTCTATCTTTAGTTTTCTATTAGTGGCTATCAATTGCTTTCCTGAATGCCTTTTTTATATAAACAAAAGTCATAAACTGAAGGCCTTCTTTAAAAAAAAAAATCTAGTTTGTTCCTATTGCCAGTTTTTCCCCCAAGATTCCAAAATGTAGAAGTAGCATAGGGCAGAAGAACAAATAACAAATGAGATAAATGAAATAATACAAAATTTCACTCAAATTTTCAGTTGGATGATGTGGTAGCCAATGGCCATGTAATTTACACATATTTAAAATGTTCTGCTGTATAAATGAACCTAACATCAGGAAACAGAGCGATAAAAGTAGGCTCTAACGTTGCCATAGATTGAGTCTTGAGGGATTGGAGCTTTATCGAGTATCCCTTGGGGCTATCAGTGCTTAAGATGGGGTTTCTAGTTGCCAGTGTGAATGAACAGAATTTGGGAGAGAGAACAGAGAAGGGAGAGAGGGTAGTGAATGTGTGGGGCAGCACCCTGGATGCTGGTCAGCTTGGAGCTGAAATGGCTGGCACGTGGGTTAGTCTTGCTAGTTGCATTTTGGAGAAGATGTAGGTCTTTGGTGGAGGTCTTTCTGGATACCCCAGGAGTCAGGGAAGTCAGCTTATGCTGAGGCACTGGCCTTTTTGCTCTGTGCTAGGATGGCTAGCCCTTTTCTCTTGCATGGTGCTGTCATCCTATTCCAGCTAGCATAGAAACAAGACCCTCGATTTCTCTCTCATATTCAACAGCACTTACTACCTCCCAGCTTTCCTAGGCAGAATCAGATCTGTCTCCATCCCTTCAGAGTGCTCCTGGGTGGCCTTGTGACTTCGCTGTGAGCGAGTCAGTGCTCTCTGCCTTGTACAACCTGGGCCTCCTTGCTCTGTCCCCCTGGCTAGCCCTTCCCCTTGCCAGCCTCTCTCCTGCTTGACTTCTCAGCTTTGACACTCCTGGTTCAAGAGTATGTCCTTCGTTTTTGTAGCTGTGTTGTCTCCCCAGGTCATGTCATCAATTTCCTGAAGATATATTATGAACCATGTGTGCTCATGATTAATGAGCTAATGTACCCTACACTTTACTAGATCTCTCCATGTGTGTGTTTTATGGGCATTTCAAGATGTCTTAGATGAAAGTCTTGTTTTCTTCAACATTTCCTCCATATTTGATCTTTGGGCATCTTTTCAGGGGAGGTGAGCAGGTACTGGGGTGCAACCTCAGGGCCTGGGTTGTGTCCTTTAGCTTATTTTCTCAAAACTGATGCTCTACCACCTGAGCCACACATCTAGTAAAAGCATTTTTGGTTGTTAATTGGATCAGTGTCATCAACTTTCCTGCTTACGCTGGCTTCGGACCTCAATCCTTAGATCTCAGCCTTTAGAGTAGCTAGGATTACAGACATGAGCCATTGGCACATGGCATACCCATTTTCACTCAGCTACTAAAGCTGGACTCTAGGTTTTTCTTGTTCTCAGTTCTAAATCTAAGTCCGATTATGTCATGTCCCCAATCAACCAGTGAAGGAAGCATGTTAGTACTGAGAGGGGATGGCTGACTTGTATACATTGGGGAAATTTTCCCTGGGCTATCTTCCTGTTTGCCTGTGAGATGTGACTTCATCACACAATTAAGACATAAAGTGTGATCTGCGCACTGGGATGGGAAGGCAAGTATTAATTATGTAGAGGCAGGGCTTCAGAGAGAAATATAGACTTTAGATACTGGGTTGCGTCTAGAGTTTGTGTGATGAGAAGGGTATCTGGAGAATAAGACTGACTCCTGTAGTCAGTTCTGACTGTTCTCTCTCTGGTCCACCGGATGACAGTATAGAAGTCCACACTTGACCCAGCAGTATAAAGTCACTGTAATTTCTCTGGATGCTGTCATTCTGGTTCCAAGGGAAGGAAACTTTAGGTTCGAAAGCCTGAATGTATAAGAGTACCTTGGACTACACCCCCTTCCCAATATGTAGGTTCTGATGGGGCTTACTGCTCATGATTGTGAGGAATAAGGTAAGGCTGTGGTTTGTAGAGCTCTAACCCAGATGACCCTCCATTGTGCTATTTTAAGTGAGCTTTTGAATTTTCATTATAGGATTAATCACAATGAACGGTTGGAGTTCCTGGGTGATGCCGTTGTTGAGTTCCTGACCAGGTAAGTGGACTATTTTTACAATTCCCTAGTAATTATATCTCTCAGGTAACATACTTATTATCTTGCCCTCTTTATAAGTAGCTAAACGGGCATTGGAACGCTATGCATTTTGTCTTTTCTGTAGAGCTTAACAGCCACGTGTCTGTGGCTCCTGCCCTTGACAACTGCGAGAGCTGCAGCTGTAATAAGCGCGATTACCAGATGAAAGGCTGGTATCTCTGTCCTGTCAAGCATGTGCTAAAGTTGCTTACAGCCACCGGAGATCAGCTAGTCTTGGTCTAGATATTTCTGAGCTTATTCTCAGTGTAAAAAGAAAGGGATGATATTTTAGACATGTCATTTTATCTTCCAGGATTTGTCTTTGATCCCTTTCTTACTCTTTCTGATGTCTGGGGAAGTAAAGATTACAAGTAATTTTAATGACTTGATTTTGGGGTGCGTACACGCGCACGCACATGTGTGTATGTGTATGTGTTTGTGTGTGTGGGTTTTTTTTTTTTTTTGCCAGTTGAGGGTACCTGAACTCTGGGCCTGGGCGCTGCCCCTCAGCTCTTCAGCTCTAGGCTAGCGCTCTACCACTTGAGCCACAGTGTCACTTCTGGCTTTTTCTGCTATGTGGTGCTGAGGAATCAAACCCAGGGCTTCATGCATGAAAGGCAAGCACTCTACCTCTGAGCTACCTTCCCTGCCCTCCAGAAGTATTTTAGGGTCCTTGATTTAGAGGGAAGGGCTGGAGAGTGTTGTGTTGTTTTTCCATACTCATCTTTTTTTCATTATCTTTCTTTTTTTGTTTTTGTTTTTGTTAGTTCTGTAGCTTGAATGCAGGGCCTGGGCACTGTCCCTGAGCTTCTTTTGCTCAAGGCTAGCACTCTACCACTTGAGCCACGGCGCCACTTCCAGCCTTTTCTTTTTTATGTGGTACTGAGGAATCGAACCCAGGGCTTCATGCATGTTAGGCAAGCACTCTACCACGAAGCCACATTCCCAGCCCTCATCATCTTTTGTTTACAGGAAGTGACACATGCTTCTCTTGGAACCTTCTTGAGTATTTTTTATATTTTTCAGTTTATTTCTTTGCACAAGTAAAAGACATGAAAAGACTAAATGCACATAGCTGTCCCCGTGGCCATCGAATCTGTTAGAATGGTGTGTAGTGGTGGTAGAGGCTGTCCATAGCTGTGGCCCACATGCACTCACCACGTGGCCTTCTGCCCAGGTCTCACACTCTGCTGATCGGATTCTGTGCCTCATTCTTACTGTTAAGCTCTGCTCCTGCCCTGTCCATGTGGCTACTGGACCCCTGCTCAGGGTTTCCCAGAGTTTTCGTCAGAGGCTGCCTGTAACCCAAGCCAGGGAGAAGCCTTTGTTTACAGTACAAATTTTGCAGTTTCAGACATTTCCTCTTAATGGATATAAACAATGTGACAGATTGTGAAGTCTTTGTTGTCATCAGATTGCAGAGAAATCTTTTAAGAGAAATAAATGGGGAAATATAAGTGAATGTTAGCTGCTTGGATTTTTGCTCATTCATGCATATTTGGCTTACCATTTAACTTTTGAAAGGCTTTGAATCAGACCTGTTAGTTCTCTATTGTAGGTATTGTGTGTTGCCCTCTTTCTGTAATCTAGAGGCAAGACAAAATTGTTTTTGCTCCTTACTTGTGTTTCTTTTGTGTGTGCGTGTGCATGTGTGTGCGTGTGCATGTGCGTGTGTGCGTGTGTGTGTGTGCGTTTTGTGGAGTTTTGAAAATTATCCTTAAGTAGTTGTACAAAGGAGTTACCATTTAACAAAGTAGTTGCTTCTCAACAATGCAGTTTATGAATTCAATATATCTTGATCAATGTCACCCCTTTCAACATTGTCCCCCATCTTTCCCTTACCTACCCCTTCATACACATATACATACATACATAAACACACACACACACACACACACACACACCCTTGTATATGTATGTGTAAGTATACATATACAATGTATATCTTTGTAGGTTATACATTGGATTCTTCGCTGTATTTTCCCCCTCTTCTCCTCTTCATTTGTCCACCCTTTTTCCCTTGACCCCACCCCATCCCTTTTGAGTACACTTTCTATTGTTTCATTTTGCTGAACTTTGCCTTTGCCTTTCTAGGAGATTACATGACTTGAGTTCTCACTTGAATCTACCGTATGGATCAAGGCAGAATTTTGTGATGCCTATTTATAAATGTGCCCTTTCTTTTGCAGTGTCCATCTGTACTATTTGTTTCCTAGCCTGGAGGAAGGAGGATTAGCAACCTACCGGACTGCCATTGTTCAGAATCAGCACCTTGCTATGCTGGCAAAGGTACATGAATGAAGCCTGATGTTCTCTTCTTTAGTGCATGCCCAATTCTGCCTTTGATAGTCTTTAGAGCATCTTAAGGGTATAGTATTTATAGAGCACCAGTGTATTGGGTTTGGGTTTTAAGGATTCAGCTTTAGTAATTCTGTTACCTTTGTGAGTTTTATCAGCAGCTAATGAATTCCTCAGTGAGATAACTCGAAAACAAGATGGAGAAAAATTGGACAGCTGTACATGAACAGGTTAAACATCTGGGGAAAGGAAACATGGGAAGAAAGCAAAAGAATAGAAATATTTCATATTTTCCTTTTCTTTATTACATTTGTTATTAATTTATGTTAACAAGCAGAATTATAGCTTTCAACAGAATACGTCAGACAATTTACATCTACAAGGAATACTTGATAGACCTTTGAGAATCTCCAAATCCCAAATCCCATTAATTAAGATTTAGGTTGTAGGCTGTCTGGTTTGCCTCACTGACTTAGCTGAGTGACTAACAGACCTTCCTTTTTTTGTATGTGTGTGTTGGTCATGGGGCTTGAACTCTGGGCCTGGGCGCTGTCCCTCTGCTTTTCAGCTCAAGGCGAACACTCTACCACTTGAGTCACAGCGCCACTTTTCTGCGCCAGTTTTCTGGCGGTTAATTGGAGATAAGAGTCTCACGGACTTTCCTGCCCAGGCTGCTTTGAACCATGATCCTCAGATCTCAGCCTCTTGAGTAACTAGGATGACAGGCATGAGCCACTGGCACCCGGCTGAACCTCTTCTTAATTTAGATTTATGCTATGGGTTTTACTTACACCATTTAGTTTGATGTTCTTATCTCCATGTTACCTTTAGTAAACCATAGATAATAATGAGGCCCTTTCATTGGCCCTTCAGAGCTCTGTCCACACATCATATTGCAAGCAGGAGAGCCCGTAGACAAGTTGATCCTTGAGTTTTCATGAGCCAGCTTATAAAGTGCTTGGGATGATTTTTATTTGTAATAATCACATAAAGATGTCAATAAATTTGGGGGCGTTGGTTATTTGTATTGTTCCTACTGTGGTCCCTAGGATAAATCTACACACTTTTATAGACCTTTTGGGATTATGCAATAACAGAAAGACCCATGGCTCTTCAATCTCCCAAGACCAAGGGTCCAATGGAAAAGCTTTTGTGAGCTGTCCTTAAGTTTTAAATGTTTTCATCCTTTGTTTTGGTGGTAATGGTTATTGAGGTTTGAACTCAGGGTCTATGTCTAAGTTCTCCCCCTTCTTCATTTTGATTTGGAATTTGACACAGAAGACTAGATAGAACCATCTTACTTTCAGGCTGGTTTATTGATTTGATCTTATCAACTTGTTAATTTTATTCAAAACAAGGTCCATTTGGCCTGTAGTTTTTGTGGTACTAAGAAGGCATTTTTTTGTTGTTGGTGGTGGATGTCATTGATCTTGAACTCAGGGCCTGGGTGCTGTTCCTGAGCCTCTTTGTGCTCAAGGCTAGCTCTCTACCACATGAGCTACAGCACAACATTTTCTTTTTCTGAGTAATTTATCAGAGATAAGAGAGTCTCACAGACGTTCCTGCTTAGGTTGGCTTTGAACCTCCATCCTCAGATCTTAGCTTCCTATAGCTAGGATTGCAGGTATGAGCCACTGGGCCTGGCTAAGGTATTGTTTTATCTTATGTAATACCATCATTGTAGTTACAGTGATTGGTTTAGAACCAGCCCTGGTGGCATTTGAGAATGGGGATGCTTAATAAAGACCCTAGGTACCCAAATGAGCTGACTTGGTTATAGCAACTTCCCAGTGAATACCATTCCAAATGCTATGTAAAACTGCTTTAGGGTTTAGTTGATTTAATTGTCAAATGCTTCCTAATTGGAAATACATATTAGTAAGTATATTGTCACTCCATTCCCCATTGTTCTCAGTTCAGGATATAATGGGATTGCAAGTTATTCTTCAAACATTTGTAGGGATGACAGAAGGGAGGATATTTACAAAGTGTGGGAAGTTGTACTGGCACAGAAACAAGCTATTACATAACACACTGGGTTCTATAAAGAGCAATGAGTAATGATAGAGTGGTCATTTTCTTTTGTCTATTTAGTATTTCTGCTTGGTCTTCCTACTCTAAGCATAGGTCTTATCATTCCCATAGTACTGGGTTCTAGCAGAAGGCTGTGATGGTCCTATCTTCTCCAGTCTAGACCAGTGTCTCTTCACCATTAGAGTATTGGGGGATGTGGAAGAGAATCTCCTGAGAGATGAACATTTCAACACAGACATAGTAGAACATTACTCTTTCCATTGTTTCTGGTGTTGGGGGTTGAACTCAGGAGTTTGCGTGTGCTTAGTGTAGTCTCTGCCACTGACCTACGCTGGCAGCCCTTACTCTGTCTTTCCTTTGTACAAGTTCCACTAATATGCCTGTGGAAATGTGAGAAGTCAGGAGATTCTCAGCACTTCAGAATAGTTGTTTCTAAGAAAAAAAATGCAGTACGCAATCTGCTTTCAAGCAGGGCTCCAGGGATAGCAAACAATTGGATTTTCCCAGTGCAGCTGTGAAACAGATGAAATCTGCATATTCCAGTGTAAACTCTTGTACTTTGGGATCAATTTTTCTTTAGAGGTGTTTTCTGTTGTTATATTTGTGTTAGTCAAAACTCTCATTTGAGTGTATTTCAGACTCTAGAAATAGCCATGTAAAATACTGATTGTGTGTCTTGCTTTTGTTGTCTCTTTTTGCATTATAATCTTACGGCTACTTAACACACATACACAAAATCTTTTCTCTGATGAGCCTCCTACTATGCTCCATTGTTCAATGACTTGTGATGTCCCATATTACACAACACGGTACTGTTTATTAGCTATTTATTGATTTGAATTTCACGGTAATAGAAACAGATTTATTGCAGATTTATGCAATATTTATGTATTTTTCCCTTTTATGAAAAGCATTACAATTTCAATCTTAGAATAAAGTAACCATCTTGTGTCTAGTTCAAAAAGGAATTATATTTAATTATCTGCTCGGTAACAAACAAGAAGCTACAGAAATCAAAGTGAAAGTGCCAGTTATGATATATGCATATGTAATTCCAGTGCTTAGGAGGCATCAGCAGGAGTATTGAGGGTTTGAGGCCAGCCTTAGACTTCAGTGAGTCCCTGTCTCCTAGGGAAAAAAAAAAACAAAAATGAAAGCAAAGTAGAGAGGGACTAATAGGTAAGAGTAAAATGAAACTATAGGAAAACAAAGTGTCTATGGATGAACTCATAATCCCATTGCTATATAGGACCACAAATTTGGATTGTATTTTCTTTCTTTTGTAATAATATATATTTTTTTGTTTTAAACTGTTTGTGTGCAGTTTTATCAAGGGTTTATCAGAATAAAGTAGAAGAAATGGGGAGAAAGGGAAAAACGTTTCTTGCTTCCCACTCAGGGAATTGGGAATAAAATGACTCATTGGCTTTAAAATTTCTGAGGCCAAATCACCAAAGAAGTGCTTACTGTTCACCCCAAGTGATGTTGTCAGGGCCCTTGGGATATATCCAGTTCCTTAGAAGATCTCACTAAGCCTGCAGACAGAAGTGTAGAAGCCTCCTAAATGACAACGATTTAGCGCCCCTGAAATACTTCTTAAATCAAAAAAAAATTTAAAGCTGTAAGGAATTTTGAAATTTTGTTTTGTTTTGACACCAGGCTGACCTTAAACTCAAGATCCTTATGTCTCAGCCTCTCAAGTGTTGGAATTATAGGTGTGAAACACCACACTTGGGTATTTTGGTATCTTCTAAGGCTTCCTTTTCCCTGCTCCTAAACATCTGTGCAGTGTGGTGTAGACATGAATACCACATACTTACCTGTAGAATCAAAGATGTGAAGCTCTTAAAACTTTGGGTTAGGGTTGTGTCTTCCTACAAGTACTAGGTGAACCCAGGGACCTGTGGTTGAGTAGCAGAAAGTTACTACAGCTTATACTGACATCTCATCTAAACTGGGTTTTCGAAGGATCAAATTGGATCAGTTCTGAACCTCAAACTATTGGAGTTTGGGAGACAGTTGAGTCAGAATGGAACCACATGTAAAGGATTCCTACTGAAGGGTAAAATAAGGTCTGAGGAAACTAATGTGAAAGAGAATCGCTCCCCTCCCCAGGAGATGCTGAGTTATTTTAGTTGGGAATTTGGCATACTTTTTCTTACTTTTTTGTTTTTTGTCATTTTGCTTTTTGTAGAAACTTGAGCTGGATCGATTCATGCTATATGCTCATGGACCTGACCTGTGTAGAGAATCAGACCTTCGGCATGCAATGGCTAATTGTTTTGAAGCATTGATAGGTAATTTTTTTTTTAAATCTTCTTTCCTGTGTGTGTGAGCTATGGAGAGCATATAGCATTTCTTGCAAAAATTTAGGACAATGACTTGATCTCAAAGCGTATAATATCCCTAACATTACACCCCCAGCCTTCTGTTCTAGTTATTTAATTCCTCCAAAACATTGATCATACTTTCTTTTGCAGTTTTGGCATCTGGTGTCATATCGATGTATAGTAGTTCCTGAGTCGAAATAGTGAATTAACAGGGAAATGGATTATTTCCTAGCTTTGATTCAGGGTCACATATTCAAACGAACTATATGGATATTTGCTAAAGAAACTCTAGTGTTGTTTTTTTTAAACCACATTTGAAATTATTTGGAAGCTTTTTCTGATATAACTGTCTTGAAAACACTGCATTACCAAGTGTTGAATCCCTATAACTACTTTTTATTCACTTGAAGCATGGCCACTGTAAACCTTCTCTTCTATCCACTGTTCTTTGTCCACATCCAGGATTCAGTTCACTATTGGTATGGATAGTTATGGAGAACTAATTAGCTGTTGATTACAATGAAATGTCATAGTAGATTGACAGTTTCTCGATTGTTTTGAATAAATGAATCATGTTATATCTATTTTCCAAAGACCTCTACTTCATCCCTTTTGTCCTATTCCTTTGAAAATGAACATTAAAGTTTCCCATTATTGTTTCATGTGGCTGCTAGGAGAAGAATGCTTAATAAGTATCCACAGTCTTTCTTGGCTATGGCTGCTTTCCACCATTTTTGGAGAGTTTATCACATGAAATGTGCACATAGTATTTGGCAGTTAGTATTACTCTGGGTTCCAAGAGCTAGGCAGATGTATTCAACTGCCTGTCCTATCAGTTACCAGTTTCTTAGTCTCTAATATCTTTATTTTCCCCATCTTGGGAGATGAAGATAATGTCACTTACCTCAAGAGTTCTTAAAAGTATCCAGTCCTGGCAACATCCAATCCGGAGCAGAGTTTGGCTTAATTAAGTCTCTCCTAATTACCTAAGTCTCTACCTAATTACCATAATGGTGACAGGAATGTGAATTCACTTTGCACAGTGCCCTGGGCATGAAGACTCACCAAACCACAACATCGGCTACCATTCCAGACATTTTAAATAGTTGTAATTATTAAGAAATATACTTAGTTACTAAAAGCCCTGGTGACTTCATGTGTTAACATTGAGCACAGAGCGCATATCTGAAGATCTAAACACTTCTTTCATTTCAAGAATGACTATCCTCTTCCAGGGTTATTTAATACTGAATGAAGTGTGACTATAATGTTTTACTGTTGTAAAAGTTATCTTGATGTTTTTGGTGTGTATGTATGCACGAGTGTGTCACTATTAGGGCTTGTGCTTGTGTGTGCCAGGCCTTTTTCACTAAAGATTGATGTTCTATCACTTCAGCCACACCCCCATTTTTGGCTTTTTTTTTTCTGGTTAATTAGAAATAAGAGTCTCACAAATTTTTCTATTTGAGCAGGCTTTGAACTACAATTCTCAGATCTCAGCCTCCTTGTAGATATGATTTTAGGAGTGAGCTACTGGGTCCTGGCTTTGTCCTGTATTTCATTTGCAGAAGGCACCGTTGGCCTGGGACACTGATTTTGTCTATTGTGCTTTTCTTTAGATACCTGTGTATATTTCATCTAAAGCATAAACCTTGAATACAGCCATACTTTTACACCATCTCCATAATAGAGCCCATATCCATTTGCTTCATGGTCATGCATAGTTGGCCTCTTCTACTCACAATATCAGAGTTAGGTTGTAGTGAACTGGATTTTTCATTTCAGTCTAATTGATATACAAAGCATTGCTATACGAGGGAAAGATGTTACCTTTAAAAGCATCACTCCTAAACTTATCCTTTTTTTTTTTTTTCTTTCTGTGACTGGTTTCTGGCTTGACTTTTTGCTTTTTATAGCGATATGTAATTTTCTCTGAATATTAATGCAGCCTTCCTTTCGACATTGTCTTCTTTTTATGTAGGAGCTGTTTACTTGGAGGGAAGCCTGGAGGAAGCCAAGCAGTTATTTGGACGCTTACTCTTTAATGATCCGGTATTTATCCTCAGCCATTTTTGTTTTCCTCTGTTAGACATCATTATGGAAGATTTTATTTCCACTGCTTTTTTGTGTTTTGAAGAGACTTGTGGGAGAAACTAAGTGCCCCAATTTGTCACAGTGGTAGATGTCAGGTCATCCAAAACAGCCTTCTCCAGCCTTGCAGGTGGGGAAGTCGGGAGGCATTTACAGGAGGAGTTTTTATTTCACCCAGCCATCCTTTCCTGTGGTCTGTAGATGAACTGCATTCTGAAATGAAGTAGGAATACAGATGAAATTGGACTTAGCTTCATTTAGAAATTTCTCAAGTTAATTATGATTTTATACTTTATAATCATTGGGTACCTACCCCATGCAGGCTTAGTTGAAGCTAGAGCCTTTTGGCTCTCCTGTTGGTGATTTGTTTTTATGTAAATTATGTAGACGAGATAAATGAATATGTATTTCCAAAAGTCACCTCACAGGGTGTTTGTGAAGAATAGAGCAAGGGGGAATCTTCCCTCTCCCCCCCCCCCCCCAGGCAAATTATAGTTATTAAGAGAAAAAAAAAGATCCTAAAATAGTTCTGGTTGTTACTAAAGTATTAAGCTATTAATAGTGCCAGAGATACCTTTTTAATCTTGCATGCAATAGAGCATACTAGTTGCCTTTTTTGTTGTTGTTCCAAAACAAGTCAATTTAATACTTAAAGGGGGAGGCAACTCCGTATTCCAAATTGAAATGTCATCATAATTGAATGAAATAGCCCTTGTGGAGTAATAAAGAACACAGGAAGCCAGTGTTTTAAGCTTATGTGAAACCTTTAGCTTAAGTGGCTGTCAGATATTATTACTGCATTTCTTTGGGTTGGGAAAAAAAATCAATAGTTTAAAAAGTATGACCTGGATGATGTTCATATCCAAAAATTAGGTTTTTGTTACACTTTTTTCTTTTTTTTTTTTAATTGTGAAAATACGGTACAGAGGAGTTAAAATTACATGGGAAAGATAATGAGTACATTTCTTATCAAGCATTGTTGTCTCCTCTTTGTTTCCCCTTCCCATCCTTTACATGTTTTTCTAAAGACATCTGAGGATGTCTTACTCATATAAACAAAGGTGCAAACAAGAGCTCATGCATTTTTACACTTCAAATCTTAAGGTAATTGTTCTTCTGGCCTTTATCTTCTGTTGGCAATTGCGATAACCTGTTCACTGTTTCATCCCTCCTGTCTGCCTCTGTGTCTCCCCATCCCAGTCAGCCTCTGCCCAGTTCTCCTTCACCTGCATCTATCCCTCTGCTCTTGTTCCTGCAGCTTTTTTTTTATACCTTGTGTTCTTAATTGCATCCATTTGTGTTGAGATTCTTTTCTGTCTTCAAACTGCTTCTCTCCTACTTGTCTACCTTGCAAGCTTATCTTATATTTCCAGTACCTAATGCAACGCTGGCATGTGCAGCGTGCAGTAAATATTTGTTAAGAGAGTGAAATGAATAAATGACTAAATGGAAGAGCTGAGTCTGAGTGTTCTCTTACAAATGGGACAGCTGAGATTCACAGTTTGTTTTAGTGTGTTTTTTAGGAAACTGTGGAGTGCTCTATGACTCAGGGCTTCTAACGCAGAATTTTCAAGTTCACAAACTTAGACATTGAAATCTCCAGACTGGTTTGCATCTGCTCTCTGAAGGGTGTGAGAATCACTAGCAAACCACTGTACTTTCTGTGTAGTAATAGTATCGTAAAGTCTTACCAGCTAAAGAAGTCAAAGACAGTATTTTAGGCCAATCAAGGCCAGGCAGGCATCTACACGTAGGAGGAAGAGAGGCACCTCCTTCATTCTGAGATTCTTGACTGGAGGAACAGGAGCGCTATGTGTGGTGACTCATGCCTCTAATTCCAGCACTCAAAAGGTTGAAGCAGGAGGATCATGAGTTCAAGGCCAGCCTAGGACACATAGTGAGACCTTGTATGGACAAACAAAAATAAACAGGATTAATTAAGAGCGTGAGAAGGGCAGGGGGGCAGGCTTTGGGTTTGGCTCCTCATGTGAGTGAGGGCAGTTTAGCAATTGAGTGCCCTGCTAATTATTATTCAGAGGTAAGACGCTGCAGAATAGGCGAGAGCACGAAGACGGTCTTTATGACACCTGATAGCTGCTGAGGGAGAGGGAAACCTTGTTTCCTCTTAACTTTGCTTCTACTTTAGCCTATGTCTGTCCTCCTGGCCCTGTTAATGTCGGGACTATCTTCTTTCTCTCTCACTTGATGTTTCCCTCTTTCAGACACTGGGTGCTTTTGGTCTTGGAGTAACCTCAAAGTAACCTAGTATATTCATGCCATTGTTTGATTTTGGTTACCCGAGTGGCCTTCTTAAGAAGGAGAGGTATTTCATAATTTTTCCTGTCTATTTTCTCATTATGAACTCTGTCCCCAACATCTCTGGAGCTCTAGAAATTGGAAAGATCATCTGATCAGCCTCTCCTGAGTGTCCACAGATTCTCATGGTTAGCATGGAATCTGTCACCTTTAGTCCTAACTCAGCCAGAAGCCTTAGAATCTTTCCTTTTGCTAAGATTTGTTCTCCCTCTACCCTATCACTGGCAACCTTTGGCTTTTAACTTGCTTCACGCTCCTGCCATGTTCATTGTGTGAATGTATGTGTGTGAATGTGAGTGTGTGTGTGTGTACATGTCCATACCAGCATTAGGGCATGAACTCTGGTCCTTACACTCTCACTCAGCATTGTTGCTTACCACTGGCCCTCAAGCCCCACTTCCCTTTTTTTTGCTGGCTACTTTGAAGATTAGACTCTCCTGGACGTGTCTGTGTGGGCTGGCTTTGAACCTTGGTTTTCAGATCTCAGCCTCCTCTCTAGCCAAGACTGTAGGCATTGGCCACAGGGGTTCAGCGATTGTGTTCAATCTTGGTTTCTTCATTTCTCACCTAACAGACTGCTATTCCCCACCCCTGCAGTCCACCTGTCATAGTACATGATATATCTACAATTCACAGGTCTTTCTTGCTTAAAATATTTGATCACTGTCTACCAAAGTCTGTACTGTGCAACACAGGATCTAGTAGTTTTTGTGAACTTTCTCTCAATATTTCAGTATCCTTTATTTCCACTTCTTTATGTCATTTTCTAGGAATTTCCTTTTTGTGCCCTTATATTTCTAGGCATTTTGTTTGTGTGTGTGTTTCTGAGGCTCCACTTTGACTTTCACTTGCTGAATTGCTGAATTCTTCAGATCCTCTTGAAGATTTATCTGATATCATGCAGGCAGAGTGTTCTGAGTCCTTCTGTGTGGTTTCTTCTTCATGTCCCTCTCCCCATCTGACAACTCGACTATTTCATTTCCATTTCCTTCAATCTGGAAAAGTAGCAGCTCTGACCTAGTTTTGAATGATTTTTCACCATTAGAAACTTAAGCAAGTTACTTAATTATCCCTATTTGCCATCATGCTTTCCCACTGAGCCTTTCTGAGGACATAGATAGTGTCCTATTCATTTTAAGAGCTTAATACATTATAGATGTTCAGTAAAAATATGTGGCACAAATGAATGGCCTGATCACTCTTGAACATTTCCCAGAGGAGCAAACTGAAGGTGGAATTGTCCATATGCTCTCTGAGCTGGTTAATGGTAGCATGGAGATCCCAATCTAAATCTTTTCCAACTAGAGTATTTTAGCAGTTGAAATAGTCTGGTTGTGAATATTAGGATGTGACCCCATGATGAATGGCTAAGAGCATCCAAGGAGGAATCAGCATTTTGGAATGAATAACATGCAGCAGCAAAGAGAAAATGAACCAGAATGTCCCAGAGAATCTTGAGCTTTTGGAGATTGGGGTTGGTTGGAGCGAGAGCTGTTTTACTGTGCTGAAACATTATTATTGACAGTCACATTTCCTGTGGCCCACCACTTCAGGTTTACAGTGCTAATTCACTGAGGCATTTGAGGATACTTTGCAATTATCTGTGGCATACACATGAGGAAACAGAGGCTTAGAGAGTCCAAGGAATCTGCCAGTTAAACCAAAATTAAACCCAGGGAACAAAAAGTGAGCCTTTGTCACTCCTCCTTTTCTTTTTTTTTCTTTCCTTTCAGTGAATCCTTTTTTATTGCCCCAGATCACCCTCATCTCCGGAGTATGAAGATTACATGCATGCCCCTTAAATCTAAAACTCCTATATGCAGCATCTCTTTTGAATTTGATGCATATGTTAGTTGTACAAAATGATGGATTTCATTGTGGCATTTTCATGTGTGTATATAATATACTTTGATTATTGTTACTCCCTGTGACCCTTTATTGCCCTTCCTTTACCTCCCACTGGCCCCCTTCCTCTGCCCACATAGTGTTCATTCAGCTTTCATGTCTATATCTTTTTCTTTTGCTAAATCTAGATTTGACATATGAGAGAAAACATGAATTTGTCTGAGATTGGCTAATTCATTGAACTTGATCTCCAGTTCCACTTATTCTTCTGCGAATGATAACATGTAGTTCTTTATGGTCAAATAAAATTCCATTGGTGAGATATTTCCCATTATCTTTATCCATCTGTTGCTGGGCACATGGGGCTGATTCTTAACTTGGCTATTGTGATAGTGCCTCAGTAAATACAGTAGATGTGTAAGCCTCTACTCTAATTTAGAGTCCTTCCAGGGTTTGCCCAGGAATGGTATAGCTGTATCATAGGGGATTCTATCTTTAGTGTTTTGAAGAACTTCCATATGGTTTTCTTACCTACAGTATATAAGAGTCTTTTTAGCTTTTTGTTTTGTTTTTGTTTTCTGGATGATAGCCATTCTCACCAGGATGAGATAGAATCTCAATGTTGTTTAATGAGTATTTCCTTGATGGCTAAGAAGGATGAACATTGTATCATATATTGGTTAGCCATTTCTATCGAAAATTCTTTTCAATTTATTTGCTCATTTCAGTTAATGTGCCTATTTATTGATTATTGTTTGGATTATTTGTTCGTTTGGTGTTTGTTTGTTTATTTTGGTGTCTGTCCTGGGGCTTGGATCCAGGGCCCGGGAACTGTCTCTGAGCTTTTGTGTTCATGACTAGCAGTCTAACACTTGAGCCACAGCTCTACTTATGGCTTTTTGATGGTTACTGGGAGATAAGAAGCTCACACTTTCCCTTCACAATCTGGCTTCAAACTGTAATCTTCAGATCTCAGCTTCTTGAATAGTTAGGATTACAGGTGTGTGTCACCAGCACCTAGCTGTTTATTTTTTAAATTTTTTTAATATTCTGGGTATTAATCTGTCATGAATAATTTTTAAAATTTTCTCTTATTCTGTATAGGCTTTTTACTCAGCTGTTTCCTTTGCTGTGCAGAAGCTTCTTAACGATGCATTCCTACTTGTCAATTCTTCATATGTTTGCTGAGTTTTTGGAGCCCTATTTAGAAAATTGTTGCACATTACTATTTCTTAAAGTGTTTTCTCTTAGTAGTTTCAGGTCTTGCATTATAATCTTTATCCATTATGAATTGATTTTTGTACAGGGTGAGAGATAGGGATCTAGTTTCAGTCTGTACATGGGAATAATTAGTTTTCCCAGTACCATTTGTTAAACAAGCTGTCTTTTCTTTAATGTATGCTCTTGACACATTTGTTGGAAATCAGGTGACTATAGCTGTGTAAGTTTATTTCTGGATCTTCTATTTTATTTTATTGGACTCAGTTTTTGTGTCAGTTACTATGGACTCTGCAGTTTACCTTGAAGTCAAGTAGTACCTCTAGCATTATCTTTTTTGCTCAGAATTGCTATGGCTTAAGTCTTTTGAACTTGTATGTGAACTTTCGAATTGTTATCCTGTTTGGGTGAAGAATGACATTGGAATTTTTTTTTTTTTTTTTTTTTTGTTGGTTGTGGGGTTTGAACTCGGCCTGGGCACTGTCCCTCAGCTCAAGGCACACACCCTACCACTTGAGCCACAGCGCCACTTCTGGTTTTCTGGTGTTTTAGTGGAGATAAGAGACTCACAGACTTTCCTGCCTGGGCTGGCTTTGAACTGTGATCCTAAGATCTCAGCCTCCATGAGTAGGCAGGATTACAGGTGTGAGCCACCAGCGAGCGCCCTGCTTGACACTGGAATTTTGATGAAGATTGCTTGATTCTGAGGATCAGGGTGGCTATTTTCAGAATATTAATTTTGCCAGTCTATAAAGTTTTTCTATCTTCTAGGGTCTTCTTCAATTTATTTTTTCAATGTTTTCTAGTTTTCATTGTAGAAATCTTTTACTGCTTGCTTGAGTTTAATCCTAATATTTTAAAAAGCTATTATGAATGCCATTTTTTCCTGATTTCTTTCTCAACGTGTTCCTTGTTATACAGAAAAACTAGATTTTTAATTTTGTTTTTATATTCTCCTACAGCTATTTGATGAGCCATCTTGTAGATAATTTTTAAGTTTACTTGATCTGTAGTAATTTAAATTTGAAGTTCTTTGTTGATTTCTTTGCTGGATAATTTATCTATTGATGAGCGGGGTGTTGAAGTTGCATACACTGTTACTGTACCCACACTCATCTCTCCTTATGTCCAGTAGTACTTATTTTATGAAATTGGACGCACCCATGTTCATGTGTATACCTTATGTTTGACTTTTTTCTTTTCAGTTTTGTTTTGCTTAACATCATGACCTCTCCTCAACTTTTTTGCTCACAGCTGGCATATACTTCTTGAGCTACACCTCTAGTCTAGAATTTTACTGGTTAGTTGGAGGTACAGTTTCACAGATTTTTTTTTTTTTTTTTTCTGCCCAGTCTGGCTTTGAACCGCAACCCTCCAAGTCTCTTCCTCTGGAGTGGCTAAGATTACAGGTGTGAGCCACTGATGTCTAGTTGGATTTCTTCCATTTTTAATATGCACAGTAGTGACCTTCTTTTATTCTTTCTAATTTTGGCTTGAAGTCTGCTATGTCAGAGATAAGTATAATGATTTCTTTCAGATTTTGTTTGTGTGGATTATCATTTTCCACGCTTGCTCTTCAGTCTGTGAATTTATTGCAGAAAGTGAACAGTTAAATTGTGTCTTTTATTCATTTAGCCAATGTGCAACTTTTAATTGGAGAATTAAAGCTGTTTCCATTTAGGGTTATTATTGAACAGCATGTATTAAACTTCTGCCTTCTTCTTAGTGGTTTATTGATTTACTGAGTTAATATTTTATTCCTTCCTACTTTTCATTTGTTTATCTATTCTGCTAATGAGATATATTCTTTCCTAATCTCTTGTGCTTATCTATATATTTCTTCCTCTTCTTTGTATAGTATTCCTTTAAGTATCTTCTGCATTTCCGGTGTAGGGGTCATGAATTGCTTTAGTTTATGCTTAACATTCAAGATCTTTATTTCTCAAGGATAGCTTTGCTGGATATAGTCATATTGTTTAGCAGAAACTGTCTCAGAGCTTGAAATACATCACTCCATGTAGTTCTGGCCTTTGAGGTTTCCACTGAAGTTTTGCCTTTGTGAGTAACTTGGCCTTCCTTTTTTACAACTTTCTATATCCTCTCTTTGTTCTGTATTCTTGGCATTTTACTTAGAATTTGTTGTGGAGAGGTACTGTTAAAATCATGTCTATTTGAGGTTCTATGTTTCCTGCACTAAGATGTCCGTATCTTTCCCTAGATTTTGGAAATTTTCAATTATAATTTCATTAAATGATATACTTTTATTCTGTATCTTGATCCTTTCTTGTATACCATAGATTCATAAGTTTGGTCTCTTACTCATTTCCCAGAAATCTTAAATGTTGTAGTCATGAATTTTTTTATTTTGTTTCTATTTTTTAATTGCTATCCAATGTAATAATTCTCTGCTTTTATATTCAGTGAATGATATTCTTTCTTCCACCTGTCTAGTCTATTAGTGATGCTTTACACTGAGTTTTTAATTGATTTATTGAGTTTATAATTTTCATAATTATTTCCTCTCTCTCTCCCTCTTTCTTTCTTTCTTTCTTCCTTTCTCTCTTTTCTTTCTCTCTCTCTTTCCCTCTGTCTGTTTCTCTATCTGTTGTCCCTTTCTCTTCTTCCTTTTCTATTTCTTTCTCCCTTTTCCTTCTCTTTTCGCTCCAGAATCTCTATCCCCATGCAGAATTTCTCACCTTTGTTGTTAAATTTTTCATCCAGGTCTTGAATTGATTAATTTATTCTTCTGTTTGTTTGAATTCCCTTTGAGGTCATAGATCCTTTTTAAAACAATGATAGTAAACTCATGCTTGCTAGGCTGCTGCTCTACCACTTGGCTTCTTATTGGTTATTTTGGAGATGGAGTCTTACAGACATATCTGTCCAGGCTAATGTCAAACCATGATATTACTCAGGAGAGTTCAGCCTTCTGAGTAGCTAGGATTCTACAGGTCTAAATGCTGGCATTGGCCACTGATCATTTTTTAAAGTAAACTTTTAGATTCTTTGCCTGGCATTTCAGTAGCTTTGGATTCAGTTGTTAAAGATTTGTGAACTTCTAAAGTTATTATAGTTTTCAAATTCCTTGTTTTTCTAGGTTGTGGTTTGTGCATTTGTTGGTACAGGCATCTTTTCTGGTATTAATAAACAACTTTCTTTTACTTGTTAGTTACTTACAAGTTTTACTTGTTAGTACCACTCTCTGAGGAGAAAACAAACCATGATAACTGCAACAACACCCAAACAAACCAGATTTAGCAATACAATTAAAATCAATTAAAAGCTATTATGCTGTCACTGAAAACAAAATAGCAAGAATAATGTAAAGTTACGAGGTTAAAACATTCAATTAGAAATAATAATAAATGAATGAAATAAAAGAGAAGAACAGGGAAAAGGAAAAAAGAGAAAAGGATAAAAAGAATTTGAGGAAGAGAAAAGAGTTAAAAATCAGATTACAAAATTTTAAAAAGCTATATAAGTAAAAGTAGAGTAAGAACATATGTAGACCAGAAAGAATAAGTAAAAAAAATACGAAAGTTAAAATAAAAACCAACAAAGAATTGGACAAACTTCTTACTGTATCTGCAGGTCTGGGAATATGCCGGGTGGTAAGAGGGTGAGTGAGATGTTCCTGGAGTCTCTTGTAGCTCCTCTTCTTCATTGAGACTGGTGCTATATTCAGGCTGAGGCCTCGCTGGTCAGGAGTCCATTGTTGACTTCATGGCTATGTTCAATTTAGAAGCTTTTCTTTTCATACTGCTGAACTTCAGTAAAATGTTTTCTCTTTAAAATAACATTTTTATTCTCATTTATTTCTGAGACCTAATATTAAGGCCAGAAAGTAAAAATTTAGAGGCTTTCTAGGGTCCAAACCTGAAGGAAAACCACCTTAATCCTGATGACTTTCTCATTATAACTGCCTCTGGGTTTAACTCATTATTATTTCCCTAAATAAAAATTTAATGCTATGATGCCTTTTTTTTTTTTTTTTTTTTTAGCCACAATTGGGATATTCAAAGAATACATTGCATACACTTATTTGTGTGTAGAAAGCACAGTGGATGCACATTTCTGGAGAATAGTGAACTAGTAGGGATGAACTGAACAGCAGTTTAACCTAGCCTGTTAGGTTAAGCAAATGTGTAACTTAGTTTTAAAAGGTGTGTCTGACTTCTGGAGTGGGAGGCTTTTTTCCTCCCTAGCTTAAGGCTAATTAGAGTCACTACAGGTAGCTTGAGTGGTGAATACACTTTAAAAAATTAGTTTGCTAGTGCTATTGAATTTGCAGTAAGTGGAGTCAGCATCTGAAATAGTTCAGTATTTCAAATAATGACATTTTATTTAGTACTCTCGAGTGTATTAAATGCTTCCCTTGAGCATTAAAGGCATCACTCCATTTTCTAGGACCTGCGAGAAGTCTGGCTCAATTATCCTCTCCACCCACTCCAGGTAAGTGTGATTTTCCTGTCTGCAGTGAGCTTTTAACTCCAGATCTTCCTTTCACTTTCCTTTGCCTTTCTTTGCTTCTCCCACTTTTATCGGTAGTTCTTTTCCCTTTGGGTGCGATAATTTCAAATAATCAGATAGGGAAACTTGGAAGTCATTAGAATTCATAGCAAGATGCACCCATGCCTTGTGTTCATGTGGTTTAGGAGGTCTGGGGCTGACCTTTCCTCACAAAGCAGAAAGTCTAGAATTACTGGTCCTATCACCCCTACTAACAAGTGCTATGCAACATACAGTGTTGAAGGAATAACAGTGTGGAAGCCAGTCTGGCATATTTAAAAAGGAGAACAAATAATTAACATTGCTAAGTTGTAAACTAATTTCATTTTAGGAATGGAGAGATTTAACTCAGATTGCATAAAATTTACTGCAGACTAAAAATTCTGTGCCATATGATTACTTTTTGCTCAGGATTTAGGGATTTTAAAAGATCTACACATGGTAACATGCTTTTCATCAGTTAAAAATGCTCACTGTACTTTGCTTTTAGTTCTCTTTGGGATGAATGCATATACATATCCATCTAAACACATCTTCATACTCAAATATGTGTAAATAATGAATGAGACTTTGTCGTAATAAATGACATTAAGTCATAATACTTTAAATATGCCTCATTAATAGCAGTGATTGCCCAGAGTTGTTAAAAAGGTTCATTTTAATGGCACCTTTCAGTTGCTATTTGCTAATCATTACAGGTTCATTATTATAGAGCACCATGTATCTAGTGGAATAATTCCCTGTGGAAGCTAGACTCAGTTTTTTACACAAAATGTATAATGACTATAATTTATGTTAATTACATTTAGAAAGTTACTTATTGTTATTGTAGAAGTAGTGTACAGAGGGTTTACGGTTATATAAGTCAGATAAAGAGTATATTTGTTTTTGAACAATGTCACCCTTCCCTCACTGTCTCCCATAAACTCAGGTTTTTTTGTGTGTGTGTGTGTGTTTTTTTTTTGGGTCCTGTGGTGGGGCCTGAACTCTGGGCCTGGGCGCTGTCCCTCAGCTCTTCAGCTCAAGGCTAGCACTCTACCACTTGAGCCACAGCGCCCCTTCCGGCTTTTTTCTTTTTGCTTATGTGGTACTGAGGAATTGAACCCAGGGCCTCATGCATGCAAGGCAAGTGCTCTACCACTGAGCCACCTTCCCAGCCCATAAACTCAGTTTTAATGGTGTTTGTTTGCTAAAATACTATAGTGCCTAGAGAACGTGGAGTAGTCAAGTTGCTCTAAAATGGTGGGTCACAAGGGGCAGTCCCCAGATGATGACCACCCACCTTACCTGGGAACTTGTCAGCAAGGCAGATTCTCAGTCCTCACTCCAGACTTGTGAAGTCAGTCACTTCAGGGTGGGGCCTAGCCACCTGCCTTTAACAGCCCTCTGAGTGTTCTCCTGAATGCTAAAAGTTCAAGAACCACTGGTTTACTAGAGATGTATATTCTCCACCAGCTGCTTTCCAGCCTGACTCTTCCTTGGAGAGTTGGTCTAATACTAGGGATTTTGAACTATCTGTGTACAGTACTTGGCCTTGAAATTTGATAGAAGATTGGAAAATATTATTTGAGCCTTCTTTAAATATTAGGTTTGTTTGCCATTCTAAGAAATGAGAAAGAAGCTTCCATGTTTTAATGGCATTTCAGAAATGTCTGCCCATGGGGGATGGAATTTTATACTGTCCTAGAATTGATAATTATTCTTACAACCAAACACTACACATTGTTTTCATTTTCTTTCTATGTGTCTATAGCTACAAGAGCCAAATACTGATCGACAACTTATTGAAACCTCTCCAGTCCTACAGAAACTTACAGAGTTTGAAGAAGCAATTGGAGTAATTTTCACTCACGTTCGACTTCTGGCAAGGGCATTCACGTTGAGAACTGTGGGATTTAACCATCTGACCCTGTGAGTTCTTTGCACTCAATGTTGTCCCTTCGAAGGGATTGGGATTTTAAACTTATGACTAGGAAAGTCATTGTGAGGAGGTGACTAGGGAGGTGGTGGTATGGCCAGGGATAGCTCTGAGCTGGGTTTTTTTTTTAAATCCCATTAACAGGCATCTTGTTCCTTGTTTAAAAGAATTTTGAAGGAAGCAAAGCTTTTCCAGAGACATACTGAAATTATAGGCTTTGAAGAGCACATGATGGTTTCTTTGTAGTGATTAGAATTGGCCCTGAAGCAGCTGTAGTCATAACCAAAGGACGATGGCTGTCTTCCAATAAAACTTTGACACAGGCCATGAACTGCTTCAGTCCTCCAACCTCTGCTCTACATGAATGATTGGACAATGAGTGACATAATTACAAAAATAAACAAAATTTAGGCTAAGCATGTGGTTCAGTAGTCATGTGTTTGCTTAGCATGTGCAATACTGAATTTGATCAGAATAGGAAAAGGAAAGACAAGAAGCAGAAATTGTTGGCTTTAAATACTATTTTTGACTCCCGTCTCCCAAATTAGATAGTCTCAACCTTGTTTAAACTGTAAAGATTACAGATTCTTGCAGATTTTTTTAGATGTCTTTAAACTAAATTTAAGTTTTGAGTAATCGAGTATATATTGCATGTATAGTAGGAAAAATTCTTGGGCCCTTTTGCTTTGTTACAAAGTTTATTTTTCAACTGGCACTCAGCTTCTGGCAAGGTTCTGTTTACCAGTCTTTGCTTCAGCTGTTGTCTAATTTGTAGAACATGTTCATTTTGCTCTTCTTTGAAGCTCAGCCTAAATGAACTCAGAGCTCTTTATAGTTGAGCATCCTCAGGGAATTTAGTTTTGTACTTTCAAACAAAATGAACACACTGCCTCCCCAAGTCACGTCTGAAAAATTGCATTATCGTTTTCCCTTCCATCCAAATATGGTTATTGATTTCTCAACATTGATATTCCAGAGGCCACAACCAGAGAATGGAGTTCCTAGGTGACTCCATTATGCAGCTGGTCGCCACGGAGTACTTATTCATTCATTTCCCGGATCATCACGAAGGCCACTTAACTGTGAGTTGGTATTTAACTGCGCTGTCCAATAAGATTGCCAGAAGAATTGAATCCATATTTATGAATTTGGTGACTTAGTTCTCTCTTTCTATTGCTGTGACAAAAGAGCTGATGGAAACAAAGGAGAATTAGGTTGGTTTTGATTCATAGTTTTCAGAAGTTTCAGTTCAGGGTCAACTATCTCCTTCATTTTGAGCCTGGGACCAGGCAAAATACGGCAATGGGAGTGTGTCGGGAAGGAGTCTGCTCACCTCGTAGTGACTGTGGAAAGCACCAAGTGAGAAAGGTGGGCCAGGAATTAGATCTATCCTCCAAAGCTACGCCCCCCACGCCTGGTGCCTACCAGTAGCTTTTGCCTCCTAATATTGCTATTAACCCATCCATCGATGAAGTTGGTGCCCTCAGCATCCAGTCACCTATGACTAGGGAGCAAGCCCACCAAGGGTGAGCCTTTAAGGAGGAACGCTTCATATCCCAACTGCAGTAGTGGCTATAGCATGTCCTGGCATTGTTCATTTTTATTGTGTGCATTGTATTCAAAGCAAGCATATGATGAGCACTCATGTTACATTCTTTCATTTAATGATCATCCTCTCCGTGCAAGACATTGAGCTAGGCCTCATGAAGAAGCAGACATGAGTAACACCAAGTCTATGTTTTAATGGATTTTAAAACCACTGGGTACTGGTGACTAACACCTGTAATCCTAGTTACTCAAGAGGCTGAGATCTGATGATTGTGGTTTAAATACAGCCTGGGCAGGAAAGTTTGTGAGACTCTTACCTCCAATTTACCACCAAAAAGCTGAAAGCAGAGCTGTGGCTCAAGTGGTAGAGTGCTAGTCTTGAGTAAGAAAAGCTCAGGGACAACATTCAGGCCCTGAGTTCATCACACCAAAACAAAGAACAAATCAAAATCCTCCTAGAAGAGATTAAAATATAAGTGAGTGATTATGAAAAAAACTCTAATACTCTGTGTATATTATTTGTGTCTTTACACATAAATATGCATTATTAAAAGTATAAGTAGACTATGTTAAGTATTAAAGAGGTAGGTAAATTGTTACTCTTGTGCAGTTTAGGCAAAGATTTCTTTGAGCTGTGGAGTGGAAAGAAGGCCACATGGGTATGATGGTGTTTGAACCTTTAAACATGGGTAGGGTTGTGCACTGGCTTTCCACAAACTGGGACTAGAGAAATAAGGGCATGACATGAAAACCAGATCAAGAGGCACCAATAAGGACTCATGTTGTTGGACAAACCCAGTCAGTGATATGCCTAGAAAGCTGAAGGACACATATCTAGCAGCCAGTTGCGATGACCTCTTCAAGTGCAAGGAGTAACCTTGGAGAAGTCCCTTGAGAATTGGGCATGGGCAAGGCAGCTGCTTCTTGGGCCAACAAAACATGGTGGTACCCTTTAAGACCTTTGTTAACATAGCTTTTATTATGTTGAAGAAAATAACAAGTTTTTGCAACTTTATGATTTTTTTATGCATGGTTAGCTTTGAAAAGCATTGAATCTTATTTCTGCAACTGTGAACCCTAGAAATAGTTTAAGTGAGACTTAAATATTGTAATTAGGGTGAACATGGTGATTTTCCTATGTTTAGGTGTAATTTTTTGGTGGAATTTCTAAACCCAGTATTCATTCACCCAGTGGGGATTGAGCTTCTGCTGTGTACTATACACTATAAGCTCTGAGGAATCAGTGGTGCTTTAATTTTAAATTAAGTTGATTACCATTTCAAGTTAACTGCTTTTAGGTAAGTGTTTTCTTCTTGAGTTGCTATTAAATTCCTAAGAAAACGTGGATCTTCCGGAGGAATAAACTTGTGTTCCATCTCACTCAGAAAAATAGTGTATTGTATATTCAGTGCTCTCCATTAAGGAGTAGATGTCATAGGAGTCAAGATTGTTGCCCGGTGCTGGTGGCTCACACCTAGAGTCCTAGCTACTCAGGAGGCTGAGTTCTGAGGACTGCAGTTCAAAGCCAGCCTGTGCAGAAAAGTTCGTGAGACTCTTATCTCCAATAAACCACCAAAAATCCAGATGCAGAGCCGTGGCTGAAGTGGTAGAGTGCTACCTTGAGTGAAAAAGCTAAAGGAGAGTGGGAAGCCTTGAATTCATGTCCCAGTACTAGCACACTCACCAAAAATAGGTGGTAGTTCTGAGAACACAACCAGCCCAACTCGTACTGCACATTCTGAGTTGTCGTTTTTTGTTTTTTTCTTTTCTTTTCTTTTCTTTCTTTCTTTTTTTTGGTTGGTTATGGGGCTTGAACTCTGGGCTTGGGCGCTGTCCCTCAGCTCTTCAGCTCAAGGCAAGCACTCTACCACTTGAGCCACAGTGCCACTTCTGGTTTTCTGGTGGTTCATTGGAGATAAGAGTCTCACGGACTTCCTTGCCTGGGCTGGCTTTGAACCTCAATCCTCAGATCTGAGTAGCTAGGATTACAGGTGTGAGCCACTGGTGCCCAGCTTGTCCTGTTTTTTACAGTTAGTAAACAATTTCTCAGAAGGCCCTCCTGGGCCATGTTCCCTTCTTCCTGGTGTCTCTCCCAGTATCTATTCTTTGAGTGACAGCACTTTCTCCCTGCGAACAGAAGCTGAGCTCTTCAGACCCAGCTGTGTTCTGAGCTCCAGTTCCAGCTGCCTCTTTAGCATTTCTGCAAGAGATTGACCTCTTCCCTGCCTCCTTGTCCAGACTTCCCCTAGTAATGGAACAGCACATCACCTACCCAGAATTATAACCTAGGAGTGCCGTTGATTTCTTCCTTCCCCCACCCCTGTATTCGTACATTCACAAGGTCTAACCATGTTCTTCCAGAGTCCTTGATTATGTCCTCTCTCTTCCTCATCTCTATCACCTACAGACTCTTCAGCAGCTTAGCTCGCTTCAATCTTTGTGAAAGTTCTGCATAGCTGTCAAAATATTACAGGCTTGTGATTGACAAAGAGACCCTTTTGGAGGGAGAAAGTAATGTTTCTGAAGTTTCAAAGGCAGGAATCTAGATTGGAGTCATGTAGAGCACAGGGAGTGTGGCACCACCCTGCAGAAGAGCGGCTTCTGGGGCCTGCATTTTCCCCCCCGGGATGTGTGCTGCCCTTTGAAAAGCTTGTCATCGATGCTCTTGTACACTTTTTTGTTTGTTTGTTTTGTTTTTGTCAGTCATGAGGCTTGAAATTAAGATCTGGGTGCTGGCTCTGAGTTTTTTTGCTCAAGGCTAGCACTCTAGCACTTTTAACCACAGCTGCACTTCTGGTTTTCTAGAGGTTAATTGGAGATAAAGAGTCTCACAGGCTTTTCTGCCTGGACTGGCTTTAAACTGCTGGCCGTCAGATCTCAGTCTCCTGAGTAGCTAGGATTACAGGTGTGAGCCATTCGTGCCCAACTAGTACTGGAATTTAAACTCAGGTCCTGGCAACTAACTGTCTCTTAGTTTTTTTTGCTCCTGGTGACACTTTACCACTTGAGCCATAGCCCTACTTTTCAGCTTCTTGGTGATTAATTGGAGGTAAGAGTCTTATAGAATTTCCTGCATAGGCTGATTTCAATCCTTGGATCTCAGCCTCCTGAGTGGCAAGAATTACAGGCGTGAGCCACTCAGCACCTGGCTCCTGTGGGTATTTTTGTACACTGCCTACACGATGGACAGTCTACTGTACTCCTTCAGACTGTACACTCCACCTATCTAATGAAGGTATACTCTAATATTTAGATTCATAAATATACTCACTTCTTTCGTTGTTATACTGTTGTCACCAAAAGTATACATAGCCACACTTCCATGGGAATCCAATCTGCTTAGGGAATTAAATGTCAGATTATCAGACAAATGAAACATAATTACACAAAGTAAGTGTTCAGAATGATTCCAAAGTTTTGAATGTGACAGTGTGTCTGTAATATATCTGCTGTTCTTCTGATGACAGCTTCCTTTAGGGAACTGTTAGTCAGATTTTTGCATTGCTATGACAAACACTTGAGAGAACAAATTAAAAGGAGAAAAGATTTATTTGGGGGAAAAAATTCTTAGTTGAATTTCTAATAAGCATTTCGAACCTAATGTGCCCAAAGCAGAACAGTTTTTCCCTCTAAATACTTCTTTTTCAGTGTTCATATATCAGTAAGAATCATTCCATTATTCCTTAGCTTTTCTCTCTTCATCTGTCAACCATCAGCATGGCCCTTTGATGTTTTCTCTTTTTTTGTTATTCTGAATTGACCACCTCCAACTCAGGCTACTGATTCCACACTCTCTTTTATCTGTTCCTTCCCCTTTTCCCAGTCTGTTTTCAGCGTAGAATCTAGAGAGATTGTTTAATGGGAAGTCAGATGACAACTGTTTTCTGGGCACGTGCTCAGTCTTTTACTCCCAATTGTACTGAGTGTAAAAGGGAAAGGTATAGGGTCACCTTGTAGGACCTGCCTTCCGGCTGCTGTCTCTGACTTTGTCTCTTGAACTCTTTACCTCAGCCTCAACTAGGTTTCTACAGGACACCGAACCAGCCCTTCCTTGGAGCCTTTGCATGTGCTAGTTCAGCTGGCTGCATTCTCCTTCTCTTGGTTGTCCATAAAGCCAAATTTCATTTCCTTCAGCTCTGAGTCAAAGCCATCGTAGCAATGAGGCCTTCTTTAACCCACCTTACTCAAGATCCCTAACTAAGATCCCTCCATGGGGCTGAAACTTCATTTTCTCCTCAGGACAAAGTACCTGTTTTACTTGTTACAGGGAAAATTCCCATCGGAGTATAAACTCCATGACAGAAAGGGCTTATATCTATTTTCTTCATTCTGATCTGAGTGCTTGGGAAAATCCTGATAGATCATTGATCAGGAAATGAGCCTTGAATGAATGGCCTTTTCATCCCAGAGTAATACTCTTCAGACAGTGAGTTGTGAATGACCAGAGGTCAGGGTGACTGGCCCTGCCCACATACCCAGCCTCATGACATGGGCTCTTCCAAATCTGTGCCAGCCTATGTGGTGTTTCTGCAAG